TGTGATGACAGGGACCGGCTCCTGTCAGTGCTGTCCCACCCCTGCCTCACTCATCTTTACCAAGAGAGCCGCATTAGCTGCCACCTTCTGTGGGAGGGGGGTGGCCAGCCTCATATTCCTGGAGTCCTCGTGGTCCGCACACTGATGTCCCGGCTGTACTTGGCACTCTTCTGTTCATTCTAAGCTCCAGTGCCAAAGGCACTGCTTCCTCCAGTCCCAGCTGCTTGCTCAGGTGTTTCCTCTGGGAGGCCTGCAGAGCCTTATGGGTAGACATGCCCCAGCGCATGTGCTCATGGAACACTGTGTCATGTTCATTTTGCTCCTGGATCTGGGAAGCTGTGGATGAGCAAATGCCAGGCTGGGGGCAGGGAGGGTGTGGAAAACTGTGGTCTCTGAGTTCCCTGAAGAGGGCACACCAACAACTCCAGTGTCTGTCGGGTGGATAGTCTGCTCTGTGGAACAACAGAGGTCCCCAAATTTGTACTTTTGTGTGTAAGAGATAAGAGTCTTGATGTAGCTCTGCCTGGCCTAGAACACTCTATGTAGACCAACCTAACCTTGAACCCTCAGAGATCTACCTGCCTCTGCCTCCTGAGTGCTGGGATTTCAGCTCCACACCCAGCTGGAAATACTCTGTCTGTCTGTCTGTCTATCTATCTATCGATCGACCTATCGATCTATCATGTTTCTTTTGTATGTGTGTGTGTGTGTTCCCACTCAAGCACATGCCTGGGCACACACGTGGAAGTCAAAGGACAACTTGTGGGAGTGGGTTCTCTCTTCCCACCTTGTGGGTCCTGGGTGTCAGGCTTGGTGGCGAGTGTCCCTGGCCAGGCTCATGCTTTGAACACTTGTTCCCACTGGTGGATCTGTTTTCAAGGTTACAGAATCTTTAGGAGGCAGAGCTCGGCTGGCCTTTGAAGGTTGTTCCCATCCCTGGTTCTGGCCTGTGTTCTATGCTTCCCAGTCCTCAGCCACATGAATTGCTGCTTCCTGCTCCCAACACCAAGGGTCAAGCTGCTTATTTTATTGTGCTCCACCCATCACTGACTTCCAGTCCATGATGTATTGTGGAGCTGTGAGCCAAAACAACAACAAAAACCCAAAACCAAACCACAACAAAAAACCCCTTATCTTTTAAGTGGTTTGTGTGTCAGATGTTTGGTCAGACGTGGCAAGGACTGTCACCGGGGTGTCCCTGAGATCTGAGTCAGAGCCTCTGATTGCAGTGAACTCAGCCACATCAGAGCAAGGCACGAGCGCCTTGGCTGGGACCATCAGTGTGGCAGAGGATGCCAAGGCCTGGCATCTTTACCTGTGACTAGTTTTCCATCCAAAATTGCTGTGTTAGGAACGGCTTTGAATCAACTCTTGCCAGTGGGCTTGTCTAGAGTGAGGATGTGGGAAATGGTAGCTTCCTCTGAGCTGTGTCTCACTGTTTCCTCACATTGGCAAATTCTTCTGGTTGGCTGTAGGTGGCATCTGGAGCAACCTTGTTCTTGACCAAGACTTGAGCTGTGTATGACCCGAGGACACATGCCCATTTGGCTGCCAACTCCCCGAGCTCCTTTTAGGTCATGTGACACCAGGTCTGAGCCCCTTAGCAGCTTCAGGGTATGCGCGGCCACGATGCCACCCATGGATGTTCTCCATAGCTTCAGGACTGGCTGTGAATGATCCTAGCCTGTGCTGGCCTCTGCTGGCCTTCAGAGGCCACACAGGGAGGTCACTGCTTACGGGCAGACCTGAGCTGATATGTCAGTAATGAGGTTCATGGGTCCAGTGGCACTGTGACCACAGCTCTGTTTCCAAGAATTCAGGGCCTAGAAGGCCCTCAGGACTGGTCTCCCTGACGCCATGGCTTGGGCCCTTGCCTTCTATGATGTTGTCTTGAGGAGGGAACAAGTCGGAAAGTCTCATGTGAGATGCCTTCAGAACAGTAAGAACCCATGATGCCCATTTGAAGAAGAGCTTTTAAGAGGAAAGAAAAACAACCAGGCATGGTGCACAGCCGTGCAACACCAGGCTTCAGGAGACTGAGGCAGGAGAAGTAGGAGCTGCAGGCTGGCCTGGGCTGTGTGGGAAGACCCTGTATCAGAAAACCAAAAACTAGGAAGAAAACCATAGGAATTGTTTATGTATAACTGACACCTAGGTGCCTGCCTCTGAGAGGTGTCACATTTGTTTAGAATTCTTAAAGATAAAATAAAGCCAGGCACAGTGGTATAGATTTGTAATCCCAGCCATGGGGAGACATTCAGGAAGATCTCATAACTGTCCTCAAAACAAAGCAAGATAGGGGCTAAGGAGAAGCTCCAGCCAGGAAAGCGCTTGCCTTACGAGCATAGGGACCTAATTTGAGCCCAGATTCCTCATTTTAAAAAAGCCAGAAGTGTGGTAGCATACAGCTGTCTGACCCCAGTGCTGGGAAGGCAGAGACAGGAGGATCCCAGCACTTGCTGGCCAGACTGCTTAGCCTGTTTGGCAAATTGAGGCTAGTGAGAGACTCTTAAAAACAAGGTAGGGCCTAGGTGGGGTCTCTGAGACCCACATGAGAAACTTGCTTCACAGACCCTTAATCTCCATGTTCATGCCCACTGCACGCACACACATACATATCACCCTACCAGAATACATAAGGAAGTAAATAAAAAGTGGTATGATAAAGTATGCCTGCTGTACACAAGGCTTCCTGTAAGCCCAGCATGTCCATCACGACATTCAGTTCCATCCCTCCTGTGAGCCCAGCCAGACTGTGAGTCCACTGCAGCCTTCCTGTCCTAAGAGAGGGCCCCGTGTGCACTTCTCCACAGAGCAGGAGCCATATTTGGGGTAGCATAGGGCCTGTACACTGCTGAGCCGGTGGTATTGAGGCAGACATCTTTCCCTGATGTACCCTGAAGTGTCATCTGCAGCATCTGCACACTGAGCTGTAGCCCACTCTGGGCGGGCTGCTGCGGTGCGTGTCCTTACAGCAGGTGACGGAGGAGGGAGGCATGAGCTCTGTTGACCCTGTGTGCCCATGGTTTTGCTCATGTCCCTACTGTAAGCTAGGCTGTGGCTGCTGCACCGCCTTTCCTGTCCAGGCCCCCGTGTGCTTCCTGAGGAGCTTGGGTACATAGCCAGCCCCTGCCAGCAGAGCAAAGGCCTGGCCCTTCATTCCCCGGTCCAGGCTGGAAGCTCACCGAGCCTAGCCAGGATCAGAGAAGGGAACCTGAGGGGAGGAAGGAGGCCCCTGCATTGTCGTCAGTATTGACAATCAGGTTAGACAAGCCTGGGTTAGGAGGGGCACCCGGGAGGGTGTCTGTTTTTTTCAGGACAGAATCTCAGTCAGCTGTATCTAATGTGGACCCTGACATGGAGCCTCAGGGCCTTCCGGAAGCCCTGGGAAACAAAAGAGGAAAGGACCACCTTAACTCAGCTGCTTCCGGCAATACCAGAACTGGGATATCCCCAGAAAACCCCTCCTCTCCCACCACACAGCCTTGAATTTGGGGAATGGTTTGGGGGAGGCATCATTTTGGACCTTGCTTTCTTCTTTCAGATCTGGCTCCATGGTTGTTCACTGAGGCCAAGCTGAGCAGCTGGCATTCTTTACAGATTGGGGCAGGGCAGGGCAAGGCAGGCCAGGGGGCGCCAGCCCCACCTGCTGGGCACCTGTCTCTTGCTGGGCTAGCCAGATGGGCTCTGCAGCAGGCGGAGCAGCCTCATAGCCTGGCACTGCGGCTGGCCAGCCTCCATCCTGCAGCCCCAGCCCCCTGCGGGCTGCAGATGCGCAAGCAGCTTTCTGCAAGGAAGGGCAGAGCTCAGAGCTCAGCCACCAGCTCCCGGTAAGGTGCACGTAGCAGCCAGTTCCTGGCCTCCCTTCTGGCTTTTGTCTTGTTTGTAGTGGCTGGAAGAAAGGATGCTACAGACAGGGACAAAGCTGCATGGAGGGGACTCAGCAGAGGGCTCAGGGAAGAAGGCTCCAGGGTCAGTTGGGAACATTGAACTGGTCCCCAGGGTTCCATCCATCCTGCCGGGAGCTTTCCCACAGTGGTGCTTTAGAGAGTATTTCCTGCATTTGAGCGCATGAGGGCTTTCAAGTTGTTTCGTGGAGTGTAATGCTATTTCCCAGCGTGTGAATTCTATGTGTTTATGTTTCTGTACTTGCGCGTTACACACAGGAGAGTGAAGTGCAGGATTTGTGTGCATGTGTTTGTGGCTGCATGAATATCTGTGTTTTATGGTGTTTGTGTGTTACATTTGTTTGTGCATGTGTGTGTTTGTGTGTGCATGTATATTTGTGTACATTTTTACAAGGGCTTCTGTGTACATTTATACATCATTATTTATTCATTATATTATTTATATATTATGTATACATTAGTGTGAGTATGTATATTTGGGTGCATGTGCACTTGTGCCTAAATGTGTGTTCGTATGTGTGCTCCTCCTCCGGCCTGCCCGGGGTTCATGGTGCCCTCCAGAAGGTGGCAGCCATGCTGTGGCAGAAGCAGACCAGCAGGTGACTGACTGGCAGTTTGGCCCGTTCTGCCCTGTAAAGTGAACAACTGGCTCCATCGCTTCTAGCCGGAATACCCTACCCCAGAGTTTCCTCTGACACACATGGGCTTGGAAAGACAGGGCAGGTGTGGCAGGGACCCGGTGATCCGGTATGAGCAATGCTGTTGTAGGGGACATGTTTCTGGGTTTGGTGACAGGGACCATGGTGCAGGCTAAGGTATGTGATGGTCACCTCTGAGCAATAAGGAATGGACAGCTGGGCTACCTGCTCTGTGGCTGCCTGTTGGGGCAGGGCTTTCTGGAGCTTCCTCACCATCAAGGCAATGCCGAAACTTCCAAAGGACATGGCTCTCGGCCATAGGCCTCCTCCAGACCTTTTCTTGACAGAATGATGACAGCTGTCTAAGTGACTCAGTGAGAACCAAAGTCTGGACAATCTGAGAAGTGGGTGTGATGAGATCTCTGACCACTTTCCTTCGCTCACTCTGTTCCAGGGATAAACGCCCAAGCCCGGAGGCTCCAGCGTATCCGCGCCAAGGGAACCCCAGCCCTCACCTCAGAGGCTGCCCAGAGCGCGCCACCTACCCGGCTGCGCCGTACAGTCAGCGAGACCAGCCTCAGCCCGGCACCCACCCTACCCGACGCTGCCCAGAGCCCCGAGGAGCCCGTCCCTGACAGCATGCGTTACTCACTGTACCAGTGCCCGCACCTGCTGCTGCTGCAGGGCTACAGCCAGCAGCATGTGAGCCACCCCAGCCCCAGCACACCGCCCCTTCCAGCCCACGGACCTGGGGTCAGGCCTCAGCCTCCCTCCCACAGAGGCAGCTCTGGGGCCTCTCCTCTGGCTATGAGGCCGCTGTGGAGATGGGAGGGGGCCACAAGGTCATTGCCTGTGTCCAGTTATCAGCAAGAACTGTCACTGACCTCAGCCCTCTTTGGGTCTTTGTGCCAGACTACTTTTCAACTTGTCTAGGGCCTTTGGGATAGGGGTGTGTGTGAGAGAGAGACAGAGAGACAGAGACAGACAGAGACACCAGGGCCTCCTTGGCTAGGTGACAGTGGGACCTGATCATGACTGTAGCTGTGCTGTCTGAGCACCCCCTTCCCCCCTTCTTTTTCCTTTTGGAGACAGTCTTCCCCTGTAGCCTAGGCTGGTGTGAAACTCACTGTGTCACCCAAGCAGGCCTTGAACATGGTCCTTCTGCCTCGGCTTTCTTCCTATATGTAAGGTGACTGGTGTGTGCTAGCAGACTCATTTCCCAGAGCCATTTCTTACTTCTTTATCTGGGTCCCGAGGAGCCAGCCCTTGACGACATCCTACCGTCACTTATCCACGGGGGGGGGGGGGGGGGGGGGGGCGGGCGCCGCGCCTGGGCGGCCCCTGCGGGGGGGGGGGGGGGGGGGGGGGAAGGCTGGGCTCTGTCCTGAGATGCCCCATGCTGAGCTGAGAACGAGGAGCAGGGCTACACCGCTCTCTGGGTGACCTGGGGAATCGGGCAGCTCTTAGCTCATGGCTGGCAGACCAAGCAATGCCCTCGCCTCTTGATGGGTCTCTTCTGTATAAGGAAGCAGTGTCCTCTGGGACAGGCTGGGGTGCCCAGTTGAAGTAAGTGACCTTGAGGTGGCCAACTGCAGGCTAGGAACGCTGCTGTGTGGGCGCGGGCCTGGCTGGTGTCACGCCGCCCTAAGTGGCCTGTCTGCTCTTTAGGACAGCCTGGTGTACGTGCTCAGCCGGGAGCTGCACACCGTGGGCCAGCGCACACCCTCCAGCAAGCCCAGCATCAGCCTGTCCGCCCCCGACATCCTGCCCCTGCACTGTACCATCCGCCGCCACCAGGCCCCAGGAGGTGGCCGGGCCGGGCCCCGGCTCGTGCTGGAGCCCGTCGCTGGGGCGCCGGTTTCAGTCAACTTCTCTGAAGTGGGGAGGAAACCCGTGGTGCTACAACATGGCGACCTGCTCTCCCTGGGTCTCTACTACCTGCTGCTGTTCAAGGACCCTGGGCAGGCGCAGCCGCTGCCTGCCTGTGCCCTCGCCCGTCTCGGGGCGGCGCCACAGAGCTGTAGGATGTGTGGTGCGGTGCTCAGAGCCCGAGGGGCTGCTTCCTTGCCTGCTGCTATGGTCCGGAGGCGGTCCCTGCTCCTGGAGTTTGAGCCGGACATGGAGGACACCCTGCTGCAGAGGATCATGACGCTGATCGAGCCTGGCGGTGATGACCACAAACTGACGCCTGCCTTCCTCCTCTGCCTCTGCATCCAACACTCGGCCACTCGCTTCCAGCCGGGGACCTTCAGGCACCTCCTGCTCAACATCTCCAAGAGGGTGCGAGACACGGTCTGGGTGAGTTAGGGTCATGGCCGGTGTCTTGACAGGATGTTGCTAGATGGCTGGGCTCTGCCTGCCAGGGCTGAAGGCCTGCTGCTGCTCTGCTGTCCTCACAGCCCCTTAGGTTGGGGAAAGGGCTGGCTTCTCCATTTTCACCTTTTTCCTCAGCAGGCCACTAGGCTGCGCATTGTAGGCCTCAGTGTAGCATTTTGTCTTCAGAGTGAGTCTGAGTCCTCTAGACACTGCCCATGGGCTGAGTTTCCACCAGGTCAGTTTGGTGGTAAGGCCGCAGGCAGGCAGCAGGTGGCTGCTGGCACGTTCCGTCCAGGTCAGGGCCTCTCAGTATGAGCCAGGAGAACTGGGGGCGGATGGGTGGGAGCCTCATTGGGGAGCCAGTCCTGTTATATGTCATGGGATACTTAGCAGGGTCCATGGCCTCTCCCGATACAGCCTGTCCCCTTCCTGGCCACACACATATGAAGGAATCTTCCTGCAAAAGCCCAGCAGTGCCACCTGCTGGGCTGTGCCAGCAAAAGCATTGGAATAGGCTGCCTGGGGTAGCTCAAGGTTTCCGCCTCTTTGTTGGCTCCCTGCCTGAAGGTGACCTGGTTCCCGGGGACCAAAAGGGTCCCTGTTGCTCAAGGATGTTGGAGGCCTTCAAGAATCTTGATTTTGCTCATCAGGATTCAGGGCCAGAGAGGAATGGATCCCAGGGGCTGGTCAGTCCCGCTAAAACAGAGCTCTAGCTGCAGGGTAGGTAAATAAGTAAGTAGAGAGTGATAGAGGAACACACGCGCGCGCGCGCGCTCACACACACGGGAGAATATACACTGGGACATAACAGGAAGCATGGCAGGAGGCAGCTCATTTTGTTTATAGAGTATTTGTTCTATCGCTCCTGGTGTTTAAATGGCTGGTTGTTGGGTGAAATGGAGGCTGTGCCATTTCTGTCAGAGGAGGTGGGGGTTGTTTGCAGAAATGAGAAGAAACCTGAGTTGGTGGAAAAGCCATCTAAGAGAGGAACTAGCAGAGCCCAGGTGTCTGAGGTTGGCTGCCAGGTTTTTCATGGAGCTGGGAAGTGTGGTGTGTGTGTGTGTGTGTGTGTGTGTGTGTGTGTGTGTGTGTGTGTCCTATGGCACACGTGTGGAGGTCAGAGGACAACCTATGCAATCAGTTCTCTCTTTTCACCTTTTTATTCATGTATTTTATTAAATTTGATACCTCTTTAATATTTGTTGAGGAAAATAAAGCTTATGAAACCCCTAAAGAGGGAATATAATTTTTGTTATGAGAGAAATTCCTCTCATCAAAGATGGAAGGTGTAGGAATTGGTGTCACATAGTTTTTAGAAATAGGGGCCCTAAGGAGTGGAGAAACGGCTCAGCACTTCGGAGCACTTGCTGCTCTTGCAGAGGACCCACACCACACAGCTCACACCTGCCTGTAACTCCAGTTTCTGGAGACCTGATGAACCTCTTCTGGCCTCCAGCCCCCATGGGCACTGTACTCATGCGGTACACATACAGATAAACACACACACACACACAGGACAGAATCAAAAATAAAGATTAGAAAAATAAATAGGGCCAGGCGTAATAGTGCATGCCTTTAATCCTGGCACTTGGAAGGCAGAGGTAGGCAGATCTCCATGATGTCAAGGCCAGCCTGGTCTACACAGTGAATTCCATTACATCACAGCCAGGGTACATAGACCCAGTCTCAAAAAAATACAGCCACCCCCAAAAGAAATAAAGATTCTTAATCTAGAAACTAAGGCCTACTTAAAAGTTTATTTATTTAATTTTTTAGATTTATTTATCTATTTATTTATTACGTATACAATGTTCTGTTTGCATGTGCACCTGCACCCCAGAAGAGGCAGCAGATCTTACTCTAGATGGTTATGAGCCGCCATGTGGTTGCTGGGAATTGAACTCAGGACCTCTGGAAGAACAGCCAGTGCTCTTAACCTCTGAGCCATCTCTCCAGCCCTAAAAGTTTATTTTTAAATTATGTTTGTTTGTTTGTTTGTTTGTTTGTTTGAAACAGGCCCTCACAGCCCAGGCTGGCCCCCATCTCCCAAGTGGGAGTGCTGGGTTTACAGCTGTGTGTCTCTTTGCCAGCTGCTGCCTCTGGTAATGTCTTCAGTGCTAGGAGGAGTAGAAGTCAGGATCTGCCCACGCCTGCATACTTGACAGGTCTGAGGCTTGTAGGGAGTCCCCATTACCAGGTCTGACACCTCTCCACTGAGGAAACTCCGAAAGACAACGTGGGGTGGAGTGGCTCCACATCCCTTGAGGCAGCCCTCAGCCCATGTGCTTGCCAGTCAATACCACCTCACAACGGGGCCAGCCAGGCTGCAGCGAGGTCCCTGCCTTTATGTGGGCTCCAGGGATAGAATTAGGGGCTCTGTGGCAAGTACACTTTTCACTGCCATCAGCAGACTCCGAATGACGTGTGTTTGAGTCCCAGTGCTGTTCTGTCCTTCTCACGTCTGCTTTTGTTTTACTTTTTTCCTTTATAGGAGAAAACCAAAGAACTGGCGGAAAAGCAGGCACAACTGTAAGTGTGACCTAGTTACGGTTCCTCCCTTGCAACACCACGTTCCCTGCAGGCTCCTTGACCTTGGCTCCAGACTGAAGTCACTGCCCTCCCCTTCCTTTTCCCCAGCCATCTTGGGAAACGGTAATGGGAAATTCCCTCGTGGGCCCGGTGGTGCAGGCACTTGATAGCTGTACTTTTTCAGGCCGAGGCAGAAGGATTGCAAGTTCAAGGCTAGCCTGGGCTACTTATTGAGTATAAGGCCAGCTTGGGTAGCTAACTTAGATCGTCAAAATTTTTACCTTAAATGGTAAAAATAGCTCAGTGGTAGAGCTTCTACCTAGACTCTCTGGCTGAGTGGCTGGGAGTGCAGGCAGCAGCTGACCACCTGCCTAGAACCCCAGGAGTTGGAGGAGTGGCTGAGCGTAGCCCACCTGCCTAGCACCAGGGAAGACCTGGCTCCAGTCATGAGCTAAACCAACCGCAGACACTGCACGAAAGGCGAAAGGCACGCCTGCTGCTCAGCGGTGGAGCAACTGCCTAGCATGTGCAAAACACACACACACACACACACACACACTGAATTCCCCAGCACATCTTCCACACAGAGAGGGAAGTTCTTTCCTGAGTTGCCCCACGGCTTCTTCCCCGGGTTAGCACACCCTAGTCCCTCTTCCATGGACAGCACATCTGCACACTGGTGGGATCATGGATCATTCTGGATTATCTTCCACCAGACCGGCTGACGCAGAGGCCCGTTTGCCTCCCAGAATGAAAGGGCTTCACAAGAGGCCCTCTCTGTGCGAACTGTCAGGGTAGCAGCAGCAAATCTGTCCGCTGCAGACAAAGAGGGAGTCTGTGAACTGCATGGCCTTTCTAGCATGGCTCTTCCGGCATATTAGTCCTGAAAAGTGATGTTCAGAAATTCATGCCCGGGCTAGGGCTGCGCCGTAGTTGGTAGAAGGCTCACCTGACATACAGGAAGCCCAGGTGGCCATCCCCAGCACTGCATAAATCCCAGCACTCAGAAGTGAAGGCAGGAGGATCAGAAGTTCAAGGTCATCCTTGGCTACATAGGGAATCGAGGCCAGCCTGGGCTCCACGAGACTGTGTGTTTAAAAGAAAAGGTTCTTAGACCTGTGCAGGTGCCCACACACACCAGCGTAGCCCTGAGGCCTGCTCTCCTGCCCAGGCTGAGGCCGAGCTGAAGGTGGTCTCCTGGAGCTCAGAGCAGCTGCGAGGAGGCCGGAGATGGGAGGCCAAGGGCTCCACCTGCTGCTAGCATGTTCTTAATTCAGAATCAGCAGCATGCTGTTGCCTATGGGTGCCGCAGAGTTGTGCAGCAGCCTCCTCTGTGTACAGCAGGGCTCTGAGTGAAAGAGGACAGTGGGCTGGGATCCTGCCTTTCTCAAAGCCCAGCAGGTGGAGGTAAGCACAGGCTACCTCCCATTCCTGTCAGTGTCAGAGGCCAGAGCCGGGAAGTGAGAGTCAGGCCCCCTGCATCTGCAGCTGCATGGGGAGACCAGGTGCTGCCTCCTGGCCTGAGCCGGCTCTGTGAACTAGCCGGAGGCAGCGGTGATACCGAAGGGCAACTGCCAACATGGCGGGTCTCAGAAGAGCTGCAAGGGTATTGGTCCTGCTGGCTGGGACGAAGGGCCTGCTCCCAGGACAGCCAGGCTTGAGGGGGCCGAGAGGCCATGGAGATGATGGGAGAGTGCTAAACCCTCCTCCTGCTGCACTGGGACCTCCCCTCCCGGGGTGCATGTGGCAGGGTGGCCTGCAGCCTCGGTGCATGTGGGCTGAACGAAGTGTAGGAGTGGGGCGGACCCTGCTTCCTTACAGGAAATGCCGCTGTATTTGCAGAACTTTCAGAGTTCTGTTTTCATCCCTAATGCATGCTTGCTTTTTTAAATAATCCTTTTTTTCTTTTGAAAATGATGAATCATACGAGAACACAAAACTGTACAGAGCAGAGTAGTCTCATGACCTCACATCTGGGCTCAGGTTGGCCACAGGCTGCCAGATTAACGTGTCTCTTCTGTGACTGATAATTAATGTTCTTCTGCTCTTTGGACATGGAGTCTGCTTCCCACACTTCCTGGCCTGGCAACCATGCACTTCCAGTCCAAGCCCTTATGTTAGGCTATGCTTTGTTGTGTTAGCTAATCTTTCATCACTGACAAGATACAGGACAACCAGCTTAAGAGAGGGAGAGTTTGTTTTGGCTCATGGTTTCACAGGGCTCAGCTGAGGGCTGCCTCTGCACCCCTGGGCTGTGGTAACGCAGCCTCCTCCTCACAGCAGGCAGAGGAGGGCCAGAGCTGCTCACCTGTGGCAGTCAGGAAGCAGGGAGAGATGCCCATGCCCACAGGCTCCTGCTCCCTTCCACTTTGTTCCGTGTAGGTCCCCGCCTGTGGAGTGGTGTCACCCACTTCCAGGGTGACCTGGGGGGCCTCTACCCTGTCTCACTGACCCCAGCCCTTGGGTTTTTTAATTAGAATCTCACTGCTCAGCCCAGGCTAGTCTGGAACCTGTTTCTAGCCTAGAACTTGAGAGTTTCCTGTCGCTACCTCCTAGGTGCTAAGATCACACGTATGTGCTGCCACGTCTCCTCCAGCCTGCTTATCTGTGTTAAAGGATTCTTGCTGTTTCTGTATACTGTACCAAGTGTCCTTGGAAAGACACACTTTCCTATGCGGTTAGACTCGCCCGAGTGCTCTTAAAGGTACTCCTAAAATATTAACATCTTGGGTAGGGAGAGGAGTAGTTAGTTGATATGTATTCGCCATGGAGCGGAAGAACTTGAGTTCTTGATAGACAGACAGCAGTCACATTAAAAAAAAAAAGCCATACACATACGTGGTGGTACGCTTGTAGTCCCAAGCACTGGAGATGGAGATACAGGGACACCGCAGGGCTCACTGGCCAGCAGCCTAGCCTACTCAGTGAGCCTTAGGTCAGCGACACCTTGCCCTAAGAGCAAATCGACAGTGCTTGCGAGGAACAGTACTTAAGGTTGTTCTCGGAACCACACACACACACACACACCGCCACCATACTCATATCCCACACAGACACACACTGCTACCTCCCTGCTGTGCTTTCCACACATACCACCTAAATGTCTGGAGCGGCCTCATACCTCCACATAGGCCCTCCATCACCCACGGCACCACAGCCCCACCTCCAGCGCCGCTCCCACACTACACACACGCACCCTCCTGACCACAGCTGTCCCCCCCCCCACCTGCTCCCCCCACCAGACACACTAACATTTCCTTCTCTGCCTCCTGCCTCTCACTTTCTTACTTGTTTTGCTCCAGCCCTGTTATATCCCTCCCTGCACCTTATGCTGTAATTTGCATTTCTAATCTGTGTTTATCTCAACTTGGCCTTGTTCTTTTTCTTAGCAGTGTTTGCTGTTTTTTTTTTTTTTCCCTAATCATCATTTCTGGTTCCTCTCCCTCAGCGTGGACTGTTTTCCTCCCAGTTGATGTCATCCTGGGGTGACTTTGTGCAGCTGTGTGCTGACCCACCTCTTTGACTTGGGGTCAGAAAAATGTGTCCATTTGCCTTGCTCTGTGTGGGTGTGCCTCTGTGTGTGTGTGTGAGTCTGCGTGTATGCATGTGTGTTTTGAAGCTCGAGGAGGCCATGTCCTGCTCTAGCATCTGCCTTATCCTCTTGAGAGAGTGCCTTTCACTGAGCCTGGAGCTCGCTGCTGTGGGTTAGACTGCTGGCCAGCCAGAGAGCTCCCAGGAGCCTCCTTTCCTGGAGGGCCACCTTAGGGCATGACGGGAGTTGCTGCTGCTGGGCTCTCCAGCTGCTTTACTTCCCAGTTGGGGCCTTCCTGGAGAAATGGAGGGGCAATGAATTTTGAAAACAAAAGGGAGCCAGGCTCTGAAGAGTGAAGTGAATGCTCTTCTGACCGTGCGCAGCTCCTGTGCGTGCCAGTGGATAGGTCAGGCTGGGGCGGAGAACTCGATGCTGTGCAAGCTAAGTGTGGCACTAAACTCCCAAGCCTGTAGCAGCTAACGAGAGAGATGGGCGCCAGCCAGCTTCTTCCCCACCCAGGCCCAAGACCCAGAGGTCATCATTGTTTGTGGACTGAAGGGAAATTAATGGCTGGGTAGAGTGGGGCCTGCAGGAGAGTCTGGCCGCTCTGGGACAGCAGGAGAAAACCAGACCCTCCTTCATGACTCTTCACATCAGCCCCATTTAGCCCCCAGATGTCCCCACGGGTGTGACCTTTGCCTTCGGAGCCCCAGACTGTGTGGGAACCTCAAATGGCAGGCACTTGTGGCCCCACAGTCTTCAGCTTTGATCTTCTCCAGGCTGGGTTAGGGAGCCCTATGTCTGCTTCTCGGCCTGCACGTTGACCTGCTCCGTGACAGGTGGAATGGCAGCCCCTCAGGACCCCCCCAGAGAGGGACACTGAGGCCACCAGTGAGAGATTCTGGGACTTTCTCCTCACAGGAGGTCAGCCCAGTCAGATGTTGGGGTCATCCTTCCAAGGGAGTATGCACTGTTCCAGAAGCACATGCCTAGGTGGGATGTTGAGCACTGGCTGAGGAGGCTTATGGGAGAAACCACGACCCTGAGCCCCAGGGACCCAGGGTGTGCCAGGCATGGTAGTGCCAGCATTTGGAAAGCTGAGGCAGACAGTTCATTAGTTCAAGACCAGCCTGGACTGCATGTCAAAATTCTATCTCAGTAAACAAACAAACAAATAAACAAAGCAATGAATGCATGTTGACATTTTGGTGAATTGTCAGGGCTCTAAGCACAGCACATGCGAATACAACAAGTTGACAGGAGTCTGGTTAGGACAATAAAACGTAGATAGATGCAAGTCACTTGAGTGACTGACACCCACACATCTCTTGGGACTGGTGTATGAGACTAAGCAGGGGAGATGGTTTGGAGTGTCCTAGAGTCTGTGGGGGCCAGGCTAGGGCCAGAAGGACATCAAGGAAAGCAGGCGCCAGCCGTTGCCACTGTCCTCTGAAAAGGAGATGCTTATCTGGAAGGTGGCAAGCTTGGGGAGAAAGGAACTTGCCTCTGGCTGGTTATAGGCGGGGGCTGCAGAAGGCTTGGATAGTTCAATTGATAAGACTCCTGGCCCTGAATCTGAGGAGGGGTCTGAGCTGTCCAGGAGCCCGCCTGGGTGTCAGGTACCTGGTAGCCCCTTGAGCGGTGCCTAGTTCTGTTTTCATTAACCAGAGTAACAGTGCCCCCTTGTGGCTAGCACACCAACCTGCAGAAGGAAGTGTGGGAAACAGGATGGTCCTGGTCCCCTTCAGACCAGGAGGTGACCTCCAGTGACTGTGTCCACGCTGGGATTTTCTAATGGTTAGTCCAAGTCTGAAGAACACACTTTGCTTTTCACCCACTTTCTTTTCTTGTGCTGCTATGGACCTCACCAAGGACCTTGCACAACCTAGACAGATGCACGGCCAGTGAGCTATCTTCTTCAGGTTCTCATTGGTCGTAGGCAAACATTCTAATGCTGAGTTTCAGCTCCAGCACACCTACTCTGGAATTCTAAAGAGGTGCTCTAATGCTGAGCCACAGCCCAGCCCCTCACTGGAGGATTTTAGGTGGGTGCTCTCCCACTGAGCTAGCCCTCAGCCCCTTGCTGGGGGATTCTAGGAAGGGGCTCTACCACTGATCCACACCCCAGCCCTGATTTCTGCCTCTTGCTTCCTCACCTTCACACATTGCTGATGTCCTTCTCTGATCAAGTAGTATTTCAGTAATCTCTCAGATAGTTCTGTCAGTCTGTTTTCTCTGCGAATTGTCTCGTTAAGTAATCTGTTAAAGTTCCCTTTTCTTTGTCTAAATAACATGTTTAAACCCAGGTTTCTTGTCCCAAAAGCCATGGATGGCAAGCCCCCTGCACACACTCTGTGCATGTGTGTGTGCGTGTGGTACACACGTGCTCCAGCATTCACAGCTGCTGAACATCGGCTTCCAAAAGAAAGCTGTGAAGGCAGTCCTCTGCTGGTGCCTGCGGCTGCCTGGACGTGCTTCACGTTAGGTTTTGGAGCATCTCATAGGCTCCTGACATCTCAGGAATCGACAGTGGTGCTTGCTTCTGTTAGTGTCCCACCAGGATGATTGTTCCCATACAGACGGATCAGCAGACTCGGCTCCTCACCTGCACCCAGGGTAATCTGTAGCCTTTCTGTCTTGGTAGCCAGGAACCCATCTCCTGGGCCAGCTTCCCCATGGCCGACCTGGTTCCCGACCTGCAGCACATCCTGTTCTGGATGTCAAACTCCATTGAACTGCTGTACTTCCTGCAGCAGAAATGCCCGCTGTACATGCAGAGCATGGAGGAGGAGCTGGACGTGACAGGTATGGCCCTTGGGATGCCCTGGTTGAGCCCCAGCCTCGGGCACAGCTGGCAGAGCTGTGGCTTCATACACACATACCTGCAGTGTGGAGCTGTCTGGGCCCCAGGCCAGTGGTTTGGGATGGCGCACGAGGCCAGTGTTGGTGGGTTAGGCTGACCTGGTGCCCCGAGGCCTGCCATATGACACTTTGCTGGTCTGTTTTGTCCTGCGCCCACCACACACATGCACTGTAGAGTGTTCTGATGTGCTTGAGGGAGGCTGACAGTGTGCACAGGCGGCTTGGGGGACGACACACAGGCTCACTTAATCCAGTGAGGGCTTCCGAGGTGTCCTGCTCTTGCAGAAAGGAAGAATGCTGCCAATCCCAGCTTAAGATGGTAGATGGGCATGTCAGTGTCAGGGGAGAAATGTGGGTAGGCTTCCTTAATTAGCATTTCCAAATACTCAAACTCCCAGAACATTCTAGGACAGGTGGATCCACCGAGGGGTGGGGTGGAGGGGCTCTAGGAGGGTGACATTGTGAGCTGTGCTGGGGACATGGCTCAGCTGGCACAGTGCTAACTGCACGGGAGTGAGAACCCGATGCCATCCCAGCATCCTCACACTCACAGTCTTGGAAGAAGGAGGCTCCCTGGGGCTCACTAGCCAGCCAGCCTAGCCTAAACAGTGAGCCTCAGATCCCAGTGAGAGACCCTGTTTGAAAAACCAAGGTAGATGGCCCCAAGGAATGATGCTGGAGGTTGTTTTCTGGTCTCCAGGCACACGCACACACCAGACAAACACAAGGCGGTGGAGTGGAGCCAGGCCTTGAGGTCACAGGTGGTCTCACTGAAACATGTCTGCTGACGGCAATGCTGGAGATAGTCTGGGAGGCTCTGACAGAGCCATGGAGACCTGCGCTTCCTGTGTCCTGACCATGCATACCAGGACCTGGAGCCGCTCACGCTCCTTGTATCCCTGGGCTGTTTCGGCCTCCCCCAGGTGCAAAAGGGACCTTGTGGCCCTGCCGCTGAGGGCCCACGCTCTAGTGGGAGGCGGTGCTGACTGCATCTGCGTAGTGGCTATGTCTACCTTGTGGTCGCCTACAGAAGGTGAGGCTGGTCTCCTCAGTGCTGAGGAGCACCTGATCCGAGGGCCCTGTGGCTTTGTGTCCACTGGATACCATCTCAGGTGTCTGCCTGGTGTCTTAGGCCCTCTCTGGAGTGTACTGATCCTGCTTCCTCTCCTGGTCAGCCCACTCTCTGCCCTTGCACGAAGGGTGAGGTGAATCTGGATTTTCAGGTGGCTTTGTCAGCAGCAGTCTGGGACTCTGTTTCCCTTTTATTTTTTTTCTTTTTTCTTTTTACTGTATTGTTGTTGGTTTTCTTTGTTTTTGTTTCTTTGAGACAGGGTTTCTCTGTGTAGCCCTGGCTGTCCTGGACTTGTTTTATAGACCAGGCCGGCCTTGAACGCACAGAGATCTGCCTGCCTCTGCCTCCGAAGTGCTGGGACTACAGGCGTGTGCCACCACTGCCTGGCTTTGCTTTGGTTTTTAGAGACAGGGTTTCACTGTGTAGCCCTGGCTGGCCTGGAACTTGAGGTGTAGATGAGACTGGCCTCTGCCTCCAGAGTTCTGGAGGTTTCCGTTTTCTTGAGAGATTGTTTTGATGCCATGGCCTTGTGACAGCTTCCCAGGGGCTGATGTACAACCTTTTTCCTGTGCGGTAAAACAGATGGGCTTCCGGGCCGGCTTGCACTTGCTGCCGTGGAATAGCCATTTCTGATGGAGAACACAGCCTGTAGGCTTGAGTCTCTTAATCCAGCTACTTGGAGGACTGAGGCAGGACTGAGGCTCAAGGCTAGTCTTGGTAGCCTACTGAATGACATGCAAGGAGAAAGAAGGAAGAGAAAAGAAAAGGAGGGAAGAGAGAGAGAAAAAGTGTCGAGGGAGGGCTGAAGGAGGAAGAGCCGTCTGTGCTCTGTCTCAGTAGCATGGAGACGTGTGTGTCAGCTCTCCCTCTCAGATTGCCCGGTGTGACTACTGGGCAAGTTTGGGATCACCATACCTCTGCAGCCACATGGAGTGCTGACAGGCCGGGCAGAGCCCCCAGCAAGTAGCTGGGCAGACGGTGGCGTCATGACTGCTCATGGCTGGGGGCTCCCGTGCACTTGCTGTGCTGGTGAGCCGCCTCTGTGGCCCCTTTCCCACAGGCTCCAAGGAGTCGCTGTTCTCCTGCACACTGACGGCCAGTGAGGAGGCCATGGCGGCCCTGGAGGAGGTGGTGCTGTATGCGTTCCAGCAGTGTGTGTACTACCTCTCCAAGGTGCGTGCTGCCACCGCGATGTTGACAGCGCCTCTCCAGGGCCTTGGGCAGGAGGGAGGGACTGGCATGAGCCAGCTCCAGCAGGGAGGAAGCAGCCACTGCTTCCACTCAGGCCTTTGCTCCTGCCCTTCCCTTCCCCATACCAGGAGTGCCACCATGAAACAGCCTTCTGGTCATCAGTCATGGTGGTTTTTACCGCACAGTTCGGCGACTGCCATGCCCAGCCCTGTTTGCACCTGCAGCTCCTGTCCCTGTTCCGAGAGTCCCAGAGGCAGCTCCTGCTGGGCCTCACTCCAACTCTTCCCTTAGGCTTGTTGCGTTTGGGACTCCTGGTCAGTCCTGGCATCCCTGTACATGGCTCTGGGGGTTCTCTCTCCCTGCAGTGCCTGTACGTCTGCCTCCCGGCCCTCTTGGAATGCCCTCCATTTCAGACCGAGCACAGGGAGAGCTGGCGCTCAGGCCCCGCTCTGCCGGAGGAGCTTCGACGCGTCGTGTCTGTGTTCCAGGCCACCTCGGACCTCCTGCGGCAGCTGCAGATGCACCCTGAGGTGGCCTCCCAGATGCTTGCTTATCTCCTCTTCTTCTCTGGCACGCTGCTCCTCAACCAGGTGCTGGACAAGGGTGAGTGCCGGGGGCTGGGAAAGCCAAATGTGCTCCCAAGGGAATGCTCTGCCGTGCCTGGATGCTAGAGCTGAGCCTGTGGGAGGATGGCTCAAGACCCAGGGTGGGACAAAAGCTTAGAGCATGCCTCGCAGGACACTTCAGTACCTGCCAGCAGCCTGCAGGGGCCAGTCTGAACCGCTTACAGAGTTCCCTTGATGCTGACCCCTGGCCCTGACTCACTGAGGTGCTGTTTCTCCATCAGCAGCTGAGGTTCTGGGTGTCAAACAGCCATAGCACGTGCCTGTTGCCGCACAGGCAGGATGATGGAGGGTAGGAGGGTAGGACTGGTGGCTGTCACAGCCCCTCTTGCCCCAGGGTGTGGGTAGTTTGCATTGCCTTGCAGACTGAGAGAGGACATTGAAGTGGCCTGGAAAGGGAGACGGTGCTTTAGGGACCTTAGTGTGGCTCTCCTCCTTTATTCCCTCTCCAGGGCCCTCTCTGAGTTGCTTCCATTGGCCCAGGAGTGTCCAGGCCTGTGCCCGCCTGCAGCAGTTCCTGGAGTGGGCCAGGGGCGCTGGCCTCGGGGCACCCGCCGAGCGCTTCTTTCGGAAGCTCTCCTGCACCCTGCATCTGCTGGCCACTCCCAGCGCTCAGCTCGTCCAGGTAGGAGGGCTGAGTGCAGAGAAGGACTCTGACTCTAGGTCATTGGCTTACAAACAAAGTTAAGGTGGCCTGGACTCTGCACCTGCAAAACACACATTCCCTAGGTAGCTCGTGGAGTTGCTCAGTTCCCCAGCTGTCCCCACCCACACCAGGATGGATAATCCCGTAGGTGTCTGTGGGTAGTCCCTGGGCTTTGTACTGGTCTCTGTGTGGCAAAGGGCGTTCTGCAGGTGTGACCAAGATAAAGGCCTTGAAGAGGACATGATCTCTGTCCCCTGCTGGCCTCGTCTAATCTGACTGATCCACAGAGTGGGTCTGAGCTTCGGAGGAGAGCTCACAGTGGCTGCTGTCAAGAGCCTGGGAATTTGGCAGCTAGGGCAGTCCCAGGTCAAAGCCAGCCCAGAAACAGCCTCATTCCCACAGCCATGAGGAACAGAGCACACAACACAGCTGTGAAGAAGTAGGCCCTCATCTGTAGCAGTGCTGCTCAACCTTCCTAACGCCTGTGCCCTGGACACAGTGCTTCAGACAATTATTCCATTGTAATTCTGCTGCTGTTACAAATCGTAACAGTAGATTTGGAGGTGGAGGTTTGCCGAAGGTCGTGACCCACGGGTTCAGAACCACTGTCCTAGAACTGTCCCAGTCAGCCCTGTGGGATTGTACCCTTGCATTGTTTGTCCTCAAGTTCATGGCCATTACCCCCACAGCAACTGGAACTAGGCTTTCACCCTCTTCCCTCCGCTCTTGGCACCTTCTTCCTTAGAGCACCCATCTGATGGCTGACGGAAACCCTGCAGTGGTTTCTCCTCCTGTGTGGAAACCAGTGTTACATTGGCCTGAGGTGGTGAACGTTGTGAGGGGTTGGGAGTGGAGAGCTGCAGCATAAAGCCTACCCTCAAAGCTCCTTGGGGAGCATGGTGACATTGCTCAGCCGCAGGCAGGTTTAGGGCAGCTAGCTCATTGAAAGAAGAGTAGTCCCACCAGGTTTGGTGGCTCGGGCCTGTAATCCCAGCAGCACTCTGGAGGCAGGAGCAGGAGGATTGTCGAAAGTTTGAGGCTAGCCTTACATAGTGAGTTCCAGGCCAGCCTGGGCTCCATATGGATATCCTACCTTAAAAAAAAGTAAAGAAAGAAGAAAAAGATACTCCTTTTGCAGACCCTCATGCCTGTGTCTCGGCATCTCTGCACTGTGTGACAGTGGCTGCTGTTTATCACTGAGGCTCTGCTGCCGTGGGCAGGGTGGGCAGCGCTTTGCCCTTCTGGAAAGCCAGGCCGAGGCCACACCATGGGTGTTAGTGGAGCTGTGGTTCCAGTTAGGGCTCCCGTGCCCGTTGTCCATCAGCAAGTACTAGAAATGTCGCCTGTTAGAAACCGTGCTTTAAGATTGTATTTCTTTACTTATTTATGTGTGTGTACCCACACGCCCGTACCACAGTGAGTGCGTGGAGGTGAGAGAGCAGTTCTCTGCCTCCACCTTGGGGTCCCAGGTATGGAACTCGGGTCAGCAAATGCAATGGCAAGAGCCTTTTTACCTGCTGCGCCGTTTCACCAGGCCCAGGACTCTGCCTTACATGAAGTTTACAGTGTGGGTTTTGAAAAGTAGTCGAATCTTTTTCATTATAAAGTGAAAAATTCACCATTATGTGTGTGGGCATGTCTGGCATCTGGAACATGTGAATTTAATTTGCTTCCTTCCCAAATATCACTTAGGTTTACTGCAAGGAAGCACCATGAACAGATAACTTGGGGAGGAAAGAGTGTATTTGGCTTACAGTTCCATATTACTGTTTATCAAAGAAGGAGGTGAGGACAGGAACTCAAACAGGCCAGAACTTGGAGTCAGGAGCTGATGCAGAGGCCGTGGAGGGGTGCTGCTGACTGCCTTGCTCCTTATGGCTTGCTCAACCTGCTATCTTACGGAACCCAGGGCCGTCAGCCCAAGGATGGAGTCACCCAACAATTAAGAAAATGCGCTACAGCTGCATCTTAAGGAGGCATTTTTCAATTGAGGTTCCCTCCTTTCAGATAACTCCAGCTTGTGCCAAGTTGCTGCAAGACTGGCACGCAGAGTCACTAAGCATTTTTATTTTCTTTAGCTGGAGATGGAACCCAGCATGATAACCTGGGCATGATAGGCAGGTGCTTCAGCACTGAGCCACACCCCTAGCCCCTCACTGGAGGATTCTAGATAAGTGCTCTACCTCTGAGTTACACCCCAGTCCCTCACTGAGGGATTCTAGGTGTTGCTATTGAACCACACCTCTGGGCCCTTTAGGCAGGTGCTCTACCACTGAGCCATGCCTCCAGCCCTCAAGAGAAATTTTGTTAAGTATGGTTTTTGGATGGAGTGGCCTGAAGGAGCAGCTTGCATGAAGGATGAAATTCAAAGTCCTCTAGTTGAAGAAACAGAAAAGCAGTGAAGGGACAAGCATGCTTCTGCAGGGACCACAAAGTGTTGAACGTGAGGTCTGCCTGCTGGACCCACATGTGTGAGAACACCCCCCCCCCGCCCACACACACACCTAATGACAGTGATAAAAGGGAATGATGGGCTGGGCGTATGTAGCTCAGTGGTAAAGTGCGTGCTCAGCTCATGCAAGATCCCGGTTCCCGTCCAGGTCCTTTATCATCAGCTGCTGTGTGTGGGCAAAGTCTGTCACAGTCATTGTGACGTTCAGCATGTGAGATGCTGAAGCGCAGGCGGCTGACCCTCCGCCCTTCTGTTGAGCTGGGTCTGTGAAGCAGAGCTCATGCTTTGGGCTCATGGGTCTCAGCTCACACGGGGCCTCGGTCGGGGCCAACATTCTTGTTACTGCTCCTCACATTGGCTCTGGGTGGCCCTTGGGGCTGTGGCAGCATGTCCATTTGAGAAAAGCCGTCAGGTTGAGTATTTCAGATTTGTGCAGCCTCTCTCTCTCTCTCTCTCTCTCTCTCTCTCTGTGTGTGTGTGTGTGTGTGTGTGTGTGTGTGTAGATAAGAGGACAGACAACCTTGACTGTCACTCCCCAGGCGCCTTTCACGCCTTTCACCTTCTGTGTGAGACAGGGTGTCTCCTTGCCTGGCGCTTGGCCAGGTAGTAGGCTAGCTGGTCCGTGAGCTCCGGCCATCTGCCTGTCTTCTCCACGGGATTCCATGCAGGGCACTTAGTCTTTCACATGGGTGGTGCTGAGCTTGGGAGGCAAACACCTGAGCACCGGGGCCCTCCTCCCAGCTGTGTGTCGGGTCTGAGTGAGTGCTTCATCCAGGAAGGAAGCAGCTGACTCCCCTGCTCTCTCTCTCTCGGCTGCTCCTGTCTGCTCAGCAAGGTGCCTGCCCCTTCCCACACTGAGGGCTGGAGCCACGGGAGACTGGGAGGCCCCACGGTGAAGCCAGCCAGCCCAGGCCCTGGTGGGCACTGTGGGTCGTAGGGTGAGGTGTGACAAGTGGCAAACTCAGTCTGCCAAGAGCCGGGTAGCAGGTATTTTAGTCTTGTTTTCCACACAGAGGCCATTCATCCATATTCTTCATGGTCATTGCTTCTAAACCCTCTAGAAAGAAAGTGTCCTTAGCCTGAGGGTCTTATTCAGATAGGCTCAGACTAGCCAGCATAAATCAACTGCAGAGGAAACCGAGTATTTCTATCCTTGTGAAAATCGGAGAAGAAATAGTTTTCACAAGTATCAATGCACCTGTAAATAAGATAACAAGATTTTTGGGGGCCAGGCACAGTGACACACACTTTGTAATTCCTGTACTCTGGAAGCTGAGGCAGGAAGATCATGAATTCAAGGCCAACCTGAGCTTCATGAAGAGACCCTGTCCTTTTTAAAACAGTTTTGCAAAGATTTATTTTTTAAATTGTGTGTGTGTGTATATATATGTATATATTTCTCTATATACATATATATGTATAAACATATATGGAGATATACATACATCTCTCTATATATGTATATATGTATATATATATGTGTATATATGTATATATATATAAGAGAGAGAGAGAGGAGGCGGGTTTCAAGACAGGGTTTCTCTGTGTAGCCTTGGCTCTCCTAGACTCGTTTTGTAGACCAGGCTGGCCTCAAACTCACAGAGATCCTCCTGCCTCTGCCTCCTTGAGTGCTGGGATTCAGGCGTGAGCCACCGTACCTGGCTAAGATTGATTTTTTTATTTAATGTATGTGAGTAAATGCCATGTCTGCGCAGGTGCCTACAGAAGAGGGTACTGGTTGCCGGCTGGAGGGAGCTGGCTGTAAGCCGCCTGGTGTGGATGCTGGGAACTGACCTTGGATCTGTAAGAGCAGCAAGCACCATACGTATCTTTCTGAGTCTGTGTTATCTTACTCAGGATAATCTTTTCTAGTTCCATCCATTTGCCTGCAAATTTCATGATTTCCTTGTTTTTAATGGCTGAGTAGGATTCCAGTGTGTAAATGTTCCAGAGTTTTTGGTCCTACAGTACAGGATACACGCACTACAGTGCACAGACCCCAAGAAGACAAGTCCAATGGGCATCTTGGGCTTCACGTCGGCCCGATAGTCAGTGGAGTGGGGGTGTCTCTGATATGGACTATGGTTCCTGCTTTTTGATCACCTCCCCCTGGTGGGACTGTCCTGCCAGGCCACAGGGGAGGAGGACAAGCTCAGTCCTCATGTGACTAGATGAGCTGGGGTGTCTGCATAGGGGCTCCCCTATTCTGAGGACAAGGGCAGGGGGGATGGTGGTCTAGGTCAGCCAGGGCTACACAGAGAAACCCTGTCTCGGAAATATACATACATACATACATATATATATATATATATATATATATATATATATATATAAATAAAAATGTATATACATTTATATTTATAATATATATAAATTTAAAAAGACCTATGACCAAGATGTAAATTGAATTAATTAATAAAAAAGAGCAGCAAGCACAGTTAGCTGCTAACTGCTGAAGCATCGCCCCGGCCCCATTGATATTTTGAAATTCCACTTATTTATTTATTGTATGTGCTTGTGTGTAGGCACATGCACATTTGGAGGTCAGAGGGCGACTTGGAGGAGTTGCTTCTCTTTCTACCACGTAGGTCTTGGAGCTTCAGCTCAGGTGACAGGCGCCTCACCCGCTGAGCCGGCTGACTGGTGCAGGACTTTATGTGGGTAAACAAAACCGATCAAGAATTCTTATCAATTAAAACTCCAGGAGCAGAAGTGAAAAGGCCCAGTGGGAGGGAGTGGAGTTAAGAGTGAAGGAAATCTTCACAAAAGTGCCACCCAAACACTGGAGAGCAGAGCACAGAGAGGAGCCAGAGGAGGAGAGGGAGGGATGTGACTGTGGCTGGTCCCTCCCTGACAGCCTGGGGGCAGGCCGCAGAAAGGGGAGGGAGACGTGAAGAAACAACCCTCCCCCTGTGCATCCTGGGCTGGAGGGCTGTGTGCAGGGCTTGCCAGTAAGAATGTGGCCCTGGGTCAGTTCCTATCCCTGCGCCAACAGCCCTGAGGCTCTGGCTGTCTGGTTGTCCCTGGGGTATAGACTCTGGATGGCTTCAGCCCAGGTCTGTGGCTGTTGGCAGGAAATGAAGCCATGGAGGGAGGGAGGGAGGGAGGGGAAGGAAGGGAGAGGGAAAGGAAGAGAGACAGAGAGCACTAAGGGTGGCTTTAGCCTTGTTATGTATCCCAGGCTGGGGTTGAACTCCTGATCCTCCTTCCCTCACCCCTGGGAGTGCTAGCATTGGTTACAAGTGGGCACCACCATGCCTGGCTGTCCCTTTGCTTTGTCTTAGGAGAGCTTTCCTACCCTGCGCACAGTCACACCCCACAGTTCCTGATGTCACTGTTTCTGGCACATAGGCTTTCCTTCCTCCTTGCCTTACTCCCTTCTTTCCACTGCTCCTGGGTTTCCTGAGTCAGGGTCTTACTTTTTAGCCCAGGCCAGCCTCCTCACTGAGGATAAGGTGCGTCATGCTGTGGTGTCTTCTGCTCTGTCCCTTCACGGACCAGGACCCCCTGTCTGCACTGTCCCATCTGCCCACCCTTGGAGTGAGAGGACTAGCGCCCTACCTGAGGAGGGACTGTCCCTGGGCCTGTGAGCAGGGGGCTGCCTCGTGCGCCTGGAGGCCTTTGACTGAGCATCTTGTCCCCAGATGAACTGGGCCACCCTTCGGGCCACATTCCCTGCCCTGAACCCTGCTCAGCTGCACTGGCTGCTGACTCAGTACCAGCTGGCCTCTGCCATGGGCCCGATGAGTGCCTGGGAGCCAGGAGCCCAAGACAGCCCAGAGGCCTTCCAGTCCGGTGAGCCTTCCCAGTGGCCAACGTGTGGGGAGGGGCGGGTGGGGGTAAGGGTGGGGGGTGGAGACCCCAAGCTGTGGCTCAGAAAAGCATCAGAGCAGCCCACTGAGGCAGGAACACCGGAGCCTGCTCCACCGGGCACCTCCACCCAGGACCCTACATGGCCCCCCACCCCCATGTCAGTCTCACCTCTGCTCTTAGGGCTTCAGCCTGGGCTCAGCTGGCACCCAGATGATCAGGAAGTGAACAGGAGGGTGAGGTTGCAAGCTTCTGGAGACATTCCTCAGCTCTGAGCGTGCATATTGTTCACACACATGCACACACCCATGCCCTGGTGGGGCCATACACACACACATACATAAATACATACATACATACATACATACATACATACATACATACATACATACATACATACACACTTACACACTTACACACTTCAATTTGTAGGTTATACACAGCTCCCTTCATAAACACGGCTTAGAGCGTGCAGATAAAAGGTGCAGGCTGATTGACAGGCTGCGGGTGTGCATAAGGCTTCCCACTGTCCTCCTGTTGCCTGGGCACCACTGGCTAGGCTGGGCACAGAGGGCACCTCTAACAGTGCACTTGGGTCTGCCCGATCCCACTGGGTCCCGTCTGCTGAACTAATTGGTATCAGAACACTCCCTCACTCTCCCTGCCGTGTACCAGGCTTTGTGCTGGGAACGGAGCTGGCATCAGAAAGGTTCCTCCTGCCTCCCACCCAGGACCGGCACACAGTAACATCCCATGTACACACGTGTGTGTCTTAGTGGCACACGGGTGTGTGTGGAGGTACGCTCAGTCTAGACAGCCTTGCTAGGATTCAGAAACGAAGAGACTAGGCTAGGACTCCCCTGTCTGAGATCCTGCTGTCATGTCCCATGGGTGGGTGAGCAGCAGAGATGGAGGGAGGAGAGGCCAGGTCCCAGCGCCTTGCTCCTCCCCCACAGAGGACATCCTGGAGTCCTATGAGAACCCGCCGCCCATCGTCCTGCCGAGCCAGGGCTTCCACGTGGATGTGGACGCAGACTGCCTGGAGGACAGCATCTACCAGCACCTGCTCTACATCCGCCACTTCCTGTGGGGGCTGCGGAGCCCAGCCAGCCCTGACAGTGGGCCTGCCCATCCCGAGAGCATCGAGGTACAGTGGGACAGGGATGTCGGTGGGGAGGGAGGGACTGAGCCACTCAGAGCAGCCTTCCATTGACTGTCACCGCACAGCCTGTCTGCGTTGGGCTGGGGGATGCAGCAGGCATGACAGAGACATCCCGGTCATTTGATTTGGTACCAGCTTGCAAACACTTCACTCACTCTTTGTGCCTGGCATGGCCTGGCTGGGCCTGTATCCTCCAGGGTGGCTTGTCTGTATCTCTTCTCCTCACAGGGAGGCACCGTGGGCACCTGGCCCATCACCTTCTCTGAGCCTCAGTTTTTGTCCACCTCTCTTCCCAGGGCCTGTACCACACGATTCCTGAGGGGCATCTGGAAGGCCATGGCTGCCCCCTGGCTAATAGGGACCCAGGCAGAGGAGCTGTTGAAACTGCCCCAGCCCATTCTCTTCCTGTCACTGGAGCTCCCCGGGCACAAGGTCCCCCCGGAAGACAGCCTATCCGAGGGGACCGAAGGGGTTCCCAGGCTAGCTCTCTGCACACTGACTCCTCCTGCCTGCTCACGCCTCCCAGCACACCACTGGGCCTGGAGCCTGGAGGTCCCACCTGGCCAGAGCCCAGTGGCCTCCGTGGAAAAGCACCTCTTGAAGGGCAGAGGAACGGGCCAGGTGGTCCTACCGGTGCAGCTCTGGAAGGTGAGGCTGGCCTGCTCCTGACTGGGTAGCAGCCCCACCTTGTCTCTTGATAGCAGGGCTGCCCTGTCAGCCAACCCTGTGTCCAGAGTGTGCTCCTCAGTGCCCGGTCAGGGACAGAACGGGCAGGTGCGTGCATATGTGCACTGAGGGATGAGCATGTCTAGATGCGTATGTGTGTTTGCATGTACATATATGTGCACAGTGGGGCCCGCCTGGCCCCATGACGACTCTTATCATTGTGGCCTGGATTCTCCTTCAAGTTGGAAGGCGCCTGGCTTTGGGTGCTGGGTGGAGCAGGACAAGGAGGCAAGCTACCTCCTCAGGTTCTGGGACCAGGGCTCAGAACTGTTAGGTCAGGCGCAGTCCCAGATGCGAGCTCTGTTGTAGAAAGGCACAGGGTGGCCCTTGGCTAGGCTGGGGCGTGGGGCAGGCCCTGGGCACAATGAGAGGCCTCAGGGAGGGTGGACTTACAGTTCCTCCTGGTGGCACGAGGGAGGCAAATAGGACAGCGGCGGGAGGCTAGGCTGCCCCTATGTGTTGGGTCCCTGGCCTCTGGGAAACAGCTGGCCTCAAAGGGGTTGATGTCCCGTTGATTCTGGGCCTGTCCCTCCCCCGGGCTTGCTGTCATGTTCTGTCCGTCGTCTCTCTGGGGATCCAGGAACACTTGCTGTGTGCTGTCACGTGGTACATCTCTGTGTCCCCCAGAGGCCCCCTGTGTTCTGACTCAGGGAATGAGTGCTGGGCTCCTTATCCCCCCACCCCTTCTCTGCCCGCAGGAGACCCTGTTCAGGCTGCTGCTGAGCCTCCTGCTGAGGGCCCCAGCCCCAGCTCCAGCACCGAGGACTTCTGCTACGTGTTCATGGTGGAGCTGGAGCGAGGCCCCTCAGGGCTGGGGATGGGCCTGATTGATGGCATGGTGAGGACTCTGGAGCTCAGCCCTCTCTCCCGTTACGGCAGACTGTTCCTCTACAGTGCGAGCGTGGCCAGGGCCTGTGAGAAATACCTGCACTGCCTCATGGGCCTGCCTTTCGGGGCAACGATGGGCCCCAGTGTTCCCCTGTGGGACACATGGGAACCGTAATTTGTGACCTGGTTGCACTAGGCATGCCCAAGGTGACAGGGAGGGTTGGGGGGATGCAGGGTCTTTGCTGGGGAGAACATTGTTGGCACCAGCCGTGTCCTGAGGCCCCTGCTTCTTCCCAGCACACATCTCTGGGGTCCCCGGGACTCTACATACAGACCCTGCTTCCTGGGAGCCCCGCAGCGTCTGACGGGCGGCTGTCACTGGGAGACCGAATCCTGGAGGTGAACGGCAGCAACCTGATGGGTGTCAGCTACATGAGGTATGTGCCACCCCTGGCCTGGGACACTGGAGTAGCCAGGGGAGTTGGTGGGGGCACCTGCAGGCCAGTCCTGCATCCTGGGGAGGGGAGAAGCAGGGACTGGGGGAGCAGTCCGTGCTGCCCCTTCCGTACCAGCTTCACCGTGTTCCTTGATTTTAGGGCAGTAGATCTGATCCGAAACGGAGGCAAGAAGATGCGCTTTCTGGTTGCCAAGTCTGATGTGGAGACAGCCAAGAAAATCCGCGTCCGAAAGCCCCCTTCCTAACAGACCAAAGACCCTTACCCCAGTACCCGCTTCCTGTCTCCTTGCCAGGTGGCACCACCACCCCCCCTCGCTACCAGCCCACACTCCCCAGTCCAGCCAGTCCTGGGTTTTAATGTGGATGGAGTGAGTCCCTGTGTCGTGGCCTCACGTTGAGGACACCTGTTGATAGTGTACATTTTAGTGTATATTTATTTATATGACACATGACACTAAGTTGTGACATTTCCTACAGAGCTTTTATGTTTAAAGACTTTAATGGAGAAGTTAGATTCAATAAACTATCTTTCGTATTCTTACAGGGGGATTAGGATCTGCAGTGCAACACTGAGGGAAGCCAGCGGCTCTGTGGCAACCCTTCTTGTCCAGTCAGCACAGAAGCCAGGAGTGCGCCTAGTATGGATTATGATAGATATAGTTCCTTACTGGTCCCCTGCCCTGCTTCTGGTTCTGCAAATTGGACCCAGGGGTCTTGATGTGCTAGACAGGCACTCGACCACTGAGCCACACCCCAGCCCCTCACTGGGGGATTCTAGACAGGCACTCGACCACTGAGCCACACCCCAGCCCCTCACTGGGAGATTCTAGGCAGGGGCTTTACCACTGAGCTACCGCCCTCAGCCCCTCTTTTTATATTTTGTTTTGTAACAGTCTCACTGAGTTGCCTAGGGTGGCCTTGAACTTGCTGTGTAGCTCAAGCAGACTGTGAACTTTCTACCTTCCTGCCCCAGCCTCCTGAGCAGCTCTAATTACAGGCCTGCTTTCCTCAAGCTAGGCTGTCGATTACTTGAATGACCCTCTACCCCAGAACTTCGGCTTTTTTTGCAGCTGGGAAACAAGAACCACAAGTCACGGTGGTCCTGTCTTTTGGTCCTTTGTTTGAGACTGGTTCCAGGCTGGTGTGGCACATACTGTGAAGGAGGTGGTTCAGGGCAGCTCCCAACAACCTGAGGCCTTGCAGTGTGAGCCCCCATGCCTGTCTAGATGATTAGGCTGATGTTTTTGCAGGCCTGAGCCAGCCTTGAGCCCCCAGCCTACTGAGCCGACCTCCACTCTTCTCCGCTGTCGCCCGTCACCAAGGCAGGTGGTTGAACACTTAACACTAAGGTGAGGGTCCAGGCTCTTCTTCCCTTTCCACTGTTGGGAAGCCAGCCTCCTTCTCCAGCCAGGGCCTGGCTGTGCTGGGGTAGCAGCTGGCACATGCGTACACTGGGGTGAGCAAGCTTGGCCACGCTGTCCATCAGCAGGCAGCAGCTATGTTCACGGTCTCAGTGTGCACACTCATCTTTTTAAAGAGTTCAGTGTGTGCGTGCATGTGTGTGCGTGTGTGTCCACGTGTGTGTTGAGGTGCACAGGTGCCCCAGCATGTGCTGAGGGAAGGGGACAGCCTCAGGTGTCGTCCCTCACCCTGTTACAGGCAAGCTCACTCTTTTGTTGGCTGATGTGTGCAGCGGGCTCGGTGGCCTGAGGGCATCCACTGTTCTCTTCCTCCCCTCTCATTGTAGGAGTGTGAGGATCACAGGTGCGTTGGCTACTGTAGCTGGCTTTATGCAGCTTCTGGGGTGTGAGCTCAGGTCCACGTGCTTGTATGGCAAGGGTGTCACCCACTGGGCCATCTCTCCAGCCCAAGGTCCTCATAGATTCAACAGGAATAGAGGGAGTCTGGGAGCAGTCCCCGTCAGCTGCAGACACCCAGGCGTGAAAGGGATCTCTGTGGAGGGCACCGGCCTCTGCAGCAGTCCTGGATTGGCCCTGTTGCTTGCCCCCATGCTTCTCCATGCTGCCCTCTCCTGGTTGCCACTGGGAGCTGCAGTGCATCCACTGCAGCTTTCTACCTGCTGCAAGCCTCCACCTGGCGTGGACAGCCAGCCGCAACTCGATGAGGCCCAAGATGCTGGATCGAGTATATAAAGATCCTAATTACAAAACCCCTTGGTTACATTTTTATTATTTCGTGTGCATGGGACGGGGAGGTTTGCATGCATGCCAGGGTGTGCATGTGGAGACCAGAGAACAACTGTGGGAGTCAGCTCTCTCTACCACGGAGTCTGGGGCTTTAACTCCGGTCAGCAGGCTTGGCGTGGAGCCCTTACCCACTGAGTCATTGTGCTGCCCCAAGTCTAGTTTTTCAAGATTCTAAAATGTTCTATGGATTATGTGTGTGTCCTCATGAGTTTGTAGGTGCTGTCCACATTCAGGAGCCACCGAGGCTGGAAGAGGGCGCCAGTGGTTGCAAGTTGCCATGTGGGTGCTGTGAGCCAAGCCCCGGTCCTCTGCCAAAACAGTAAACACTCCCAACCACCAGCCATCTCTCCAGTCACCCGTTCCTAAGTGTAGTTCTTAAAGGACAATTTAAAATCCACAGCTTCACTCAGAAGAAATGCTTACAGCCCAGAGCAGACCTGAGAGGCTGAAGCAGGTCGGGTTCCTGGTCCTCACTCTTGACTCCCTTGGTCACAAGCCCCATGCTATGGAGCAGAGTAGGGGACCCCACATTCTGGCAGGGTTACAGGACTGAGAAGTTCAGCAAGAAGCCTTCTGCAGTGAGCCAGCATGACTCCGATTCAGAACAAAATGAGGAAATATATTGAACCCCAGTATAGTTCCCTGAAACTTCCTGATAGAGGGAAAAATTCAATTTTTCAAGCAATTTTTCTCACTGAGAGTGTTTAGGGTTAAACAGTGGAGCAGATTGCATGGATAAGGGTTCCCGGGGAGATGGGTGTCACTGCCACAATTCTGGTACTGGTTCATTTTGTTATCCAGGAATTAACCTAAAGAAACGAGCACAGCACATGAGATAAAACTCAGCAACATGCTTGTAGCTCAAGTGTAGCTCATCCTTCTAAAAGCTCAAGGCTGTGTGCCTGTAACTCCAGTGCTAGTTTGGTGGGTGTTGATATGTGGGTGTGTGCGGGGGAGGTGGGTATGGTGGGAGTGACAGGAAGGTCCCTGGACCTGCCTAAGCCAGCGGAGTCTGTGAGCTCGGGGGTTCAATGAGAAACCCTTGTCTCACTAAGGTGGGTCCACCTGCACATACACAGGGCGAGACAGACCTTGGAACTTCTCGTCACAAGGACGTCTTCATCAAATCCCTCTCCTCAGGGCTCAGGAAGCTAGCTGAAGAGGAGGCAGAAAGACTGGAAGAGCCAGAGGGGGTGGGTGACAGTCTTCCAGACACAACAGGACTGACGTACAGCACATGGTAACTCAGACTGTCGACCTTCAGGGGCCTGCACAGATCCAAAGTGGACAAGGTCCCAGTGCTGACATGAGGAAGTAGACCCATCCCCCACCAAGAAGCTAGCTCCAACTAACCACCGTTCCTAAGAAAAAAATGAGGTTCTCCAAGGGAGTCTCACTGTGTGCACTTAAGGGTAGGTCCATGCCCAGAGCAGATGGCTAACACAAACTCACAAACTGGTCTACAAAGTGAGTCCAGGTCGGCCAGGGCTACACAGAAAAAAAACCTGCATTGAAAAACCCGAGAGAGAGAGAGAGAGATGAGGTTGGAAGGGTAGGGAGGATCTGGGAGATGAGGAAGGGGAAAACGAGCAGAATAAATTGTATGAAAACTTTTCATTAAAAAAAAAAAAATTTAAAGTGGTTTGATGAGATGGGTCGGTGGGCAAGAACAGCCGCTGCGGAGCCTGACAACTTGAGAGCCATCCCTAGGACGGAACTGACTGAAAACTTGTCCGATCCCAAATAGAAGAGAAGAATCAAATTAGTGGAGAGCGACTGAGGAAAGCACGGACGCCAACCTCCAGCCTCTACGGTGCATGCACGGGCACACACAAACATACTACATCCCTGGTGTGAGTGCAAGCATGTTGTCAGGCATTCTTGTGAAAGATGATTACAATGTGCTAAAAGCCGGAGTGAGTGTGCCAAAGCTCCACAGGCCCCCGAGAGCCTGGGAGCCCAGCCCAGGCCAGGCCTGCCCTCAGCAGGCAAAGCTCAAGCCCGTGTGTGCCTGTTACCCCAGCTCGCCTCTGAGATAGAGTAGCCAGGGCGGCGCTGCCGTCTGAGTGGGCACTAAGCTTTGGCTGGTGCCCACCAGGAAGAGGGCAGTGCATTTTCAAGCGCCTCTGCCCTTTTCCCTGCTGGCACGGCGCTCTCAGCTCCGGGCAGTCATGAGAATTCTCTAGGAAGGGTGCCTGGGTGCTGGGCTGGAGAGACGCGCCATTGCTTAAGAACTGGCTGCTCTTGCCTCTCCCTGGGTCTGATCCCAGCACCGGTGGCTCACAGCTGCAGCTCCAGTTCAGCGCCTCTGATGTCCTCTGACCTCCGCATTCAGCGCATGAACACGATGCGCTGACATGCACACAGGCAAAACAAAAGGTTAGTCTTTAGCTGGGCACGGTGGCACACGCATGGAGGCAGGCAGATCTCTGTGAGTTCGAGGCCAGCCTGGTCTACAAAGTGAGTCCAGGGCAGCCAAGGCAACACAGGGAAACCCTGTCTCAAAACAGCCCCACCCCCCAATTTTTTTTTTTAAACCACCAAAGTTCCTGACTGAAGAACATGGCAAATGCCACTGTTGGGGGAGGGGCTGCCCCCACACTGAACAGGTAGCACTCTCTGAGCACATCTGCGCAGGCCCAGCTCAGGGAGGGTTGTGGTCAGGGCCCAGCAGCAACAAGCAAAGTCTTCCCTGCACGTGACCCGGGACAGGCTGTGATCCCTGCGGCCTGGGTAGGAGCAGCCCACGTAGCCATAGGCCTCAGCTGGAGCCTTAAGCCGGATTTTCCCTTAAGGAGCTCCAGCCCGGAATGAAAGGGGAGGGTGGAGCTGCGGGTGGGGTCAGAGGCAAGCCCAGCGAGACGAAAGGCAGTGGCGCCACCTAGTGGCCACGAGCAGTTCGTGCCATCGGGCTCTGTTCTAGGGCAGCCTGGCCCAGGACTCCGGAAAACTGCAGAGAGGATCACGCAGGGCCGGGCAGCCTTGAGCGCCAGCACGCGGCCTGGGGGTTCTGTGCAGGACCGTGGGAGTGCGGAAGATTCCTCTCCAAGCCTGTGAATGACGGAGCAGCAGAACTGGACAAACACGGCCCTCGGGTAGACCCTCACGAGTACTTCCTGAATTTTATTTAGCTTTTAAAATGTGTGTGGACAAGGCATGGCATGTCTCCTGGGGGTTGGCCCTTGCCTCCCATCTTGTTCTCCTGTTACTCTCCGTACCAGGCCATCGGCTCTGAACTGCTGTTCCTTCTCCACCAGTGTGTGCACACAGTGGCTGCCGGCTTTTTCCATGGGATGGGGGGGTGGGGGGTGGTGTCAAACGTGGGTCATCAGGCTTATATGGCAAGGCCTCTATGTGCCAAGGATGCCCTCTAAGTTCCGTGACCCTCCTAACTCCCACTCCCAAATGCTGGGGTTACACTGGGGCTTAAACTCACAGCTTTGAGTGTGTCACTTCTGTCACACCTCGGAAACTGGAACCACACAAGAGACCCAGGATTTCCCTACACACAGAGCAGGGTGGGAAGGGCAGGCTCCAGACCAAGGCCAGGCTCCCTGGCTATCGCCCAGCCTGAGGAGGACTGAGATATGGGCTCTATATAGCATTTGAAGGTTTACTTGGATTAGGCAAGATGGCTCAGATGGTAAAGGCTCTTGTCACTGTGACAGACAACCTGCCAGGACCCACAGGAGAGAACAGACCCCCAAATTGTCTTGATCCACTGCAGTGTGTTTTTTAAGACAGGGTTTCTCTGTGTAGCCCTGGCTGTCCTGGAGCTCACTCAGACTGCCTCTGTCTCCCAAGTACTGGGATGAAAGATTATTTATCCCAGGATCACGGCCTGGTATAAGTAAGCTCTTAAAATTTATTTTTCCTGTACTGTTCTCAGGATCTCAACCCTAGAAATGAATAATAGCAGCAGGCAGAACAGGCCGTTTCAGCTCAGCCTAGGAAAAGGTGCTCTGTCAGCTCCTCAAGGCTGAGTGCGGCCTGCCCCAAGCTTCAAGATGGCTCCTCCACGGAGGTGGTGAGCCCCCCGAGGCCACACCCATCTTCCTCCCAACTCTTGGTAGCCTCCCCAGCCTGCAGCTCAGCTCCGAATCAGGCTCACCACCAGGCTCTTAAACGTAGCCAGTGTTCAGGTGGTGACTGTCCCTTCAACCTGGCAAGAGGCCAGTGTCCTTCTCCACCAGCCGGCTGACTGTGCACAGGGCTAGAGGCAGCGCCATATTGGTATCTCGGTGGTAGCGGGGCTGGCACACGCCTGCGGTGGGTGTGAACACAAACTGGGCCACACTGGGCATCTTCAGCAGGGTCAGCAGCTCTGTGGCCCGGGTCCGGATGGACTCTGCATCCTCCTCACTGTGCACTGAGCTGGAGGCTGGGCTCTGGGCCAGGGTTCGCATTTTCGACAGGAACAGTGACACCCTGGGGAAGAGAGGGGCTCAGCTACTCGCTGCCAAGGACCAGTGCCCTCAAGCACCCAGAGAGCTGTCCTCCGTGGGCTCCGCTCTGTGCTTCCTAGATGGGATACCTTGGGATCAGATCTTGGCTCCGGGAGGCCAGCTTGGTCAGCGTGGTCATGAGCGCAGTGACCACCTGTGGGGGACAGCAGGGCAGGGCGGCCGAGGGGCGGGACTGAGTGACCTCAAACAGCAGGGCCTCCAGGGCCTCGAAGAACTTGTTGATCTGCTCCACCGTGCACCTCCTGTCGAAGGTCACCGACAGGTACTCCCCGATGGCCCACACCTAAGCCCAGAGCAGAGAGAGCTCAGCGCGTGCCGGGGCTTCTTGGCTGCCGGTGGGTGGCGGTGTAAGCTTACCACGCAGGTGAACATGCTGGCTTGGCTGTGGATGCTGCTCACGCTGCCCACGAACTCCAGAAGCTCTCGAGACAGTTCCACCACCAGCGACGGCTTTAGCTTACACAGCACCAAGAGCTGGGAGCTCAGCACCCTGCCGGGAGAGCGGGGACCCATGAAGCTGTGCGTGCTCAGGGCAGACCCTACCCCAGCCTGTCTGATAAGAGTAGCAGATCCAGGAGCACCTCAAGTCAGGGAGGTAAGAACAGACCCGCATAGGGAACCTTTCACTTCACCAGGTACATGACTGCTTGAAATCCAGGCTACTTGAGAGAATGAGGCAGAAGGAACGCTGTGAGTTCTAGGACAGCCTGGACTGGAGTGAGACCTATCATAAAACTGAAGAGTAGATGGCCTGCCTAGAATTCCCCAGTGAGGGGCTAGGTATGGATCAGTGGTAGAGCCCCTGCCTAGACTCCCCCAGTGAGGGGCTGGGGTGTGGCTCAGTGGTAGACCTGAGAGAGTTACAGTGTTAGAATGCTCAGTCTAGCATTCAGGTGGCCCTAGGTTTAATCTCCAGGGTGGGTGTATGTGTATGTGAATAAACCCCCTAAAGCAATGGTTTTCAACTTGTGGGTCACATATCAGATATCTTGCATATCAGATATTTATATTACATAACAGTAGCAAAATTACAGCTATGCAGTAGCAATGGAATAACTTTATGGTTGGCGGTCACCACAACAGGAGGAACTGTATTAGCGTTGCCGCATTAGGAAGGCTGGGAACCACTGCCCTAAAGGAAGAGACCTCGGTGGACGGGAATGTTTGCATTAGACAGAGCCGACCCTGAGAGGACACAGCATCTTGGAGGAAGGCAGACACTGGCGTGTTCTGGATGGGAGGGTCTGGCAGGATGCAGGACCAGTCCTCAGGGCCCTCGGGGGATGGGGAGGGCAGAGGGGCTGGTAAGCCTACCTGTGCACACGGGCCTCATACTGCGGCCCTGGGAAGAGGGAGTCACTTCTCTCCAGGAGCAGCAGCGCCAGCTGGTTGATGAGGGCCCCGTCGGCACACTGGGGTCAAGACCAGAGACAGCTCAGTCCCGGGCACACAGATGTGGGCTCCTCAGTCACTACCTGCCCTCCCCAGCACGTGGGGTTCTGGGAAGGATTTGGAGGCCCCAGCTTCCCGGCCCTGCTCCTGCCCTGCCCTTCCCTTAGGAACCCTGCTCAGTTGCACACACCTTTAACCCCATCACTTGTGAAGAGAGGCAAGAGGATCTGAGAGTTTGAGGCCAGCCTAGCCTGCACGGTGACTCCAGGCCGGCAGGGTTACACTGAGAGGTGGCGGCTCAGAAAACCAGGAAGAAATAAAACAAGCCTGCTCCCTGAGGCTAAGGCTCTGCGTGAACGGCTGAATGACCCCGAACTGTCCCACTCTGTGGCTAGCCTGCTTCAAGGGCTCCTGTGGGCTCCCAGCCATCCCACCTGTGAGCACGCAGCCAGGAGCGAGCCACTGGGCTCCAGGACCCGCAGGTACCGGGGCCCCTGCTGCTCTGGCTTGTGCTGCCAGCCTCAAGGCCATGTGCCTGCCCAGTGCTGAGAGCTGAGGTGTGAGCAGCTCCTTCCCTGTCCATGGAGGGTGCAGCATGACAAAGCTCCCGTGGGGTCATGGCCCAGGGGCCCCACTCTGGCCTGGCGCCTCCTGGCTGTGTGGCGTCGATGGAGGAGGGGACCGGGCAGCGGCTCACCTGGGTCACTGCTGAGAAGAAGGCCTGAAGCAGCACGGGCACTGCCTCTGCACACTGGCTTACCCGGGCACAGCTGGCCAGGGGCTTCAGAAGCTGGTGAAGCGGCGTCAGGCTGGGGACACAGTGCGGCTGCTGAGCGGCCACCCATCCTTCTTTCCTGAGTGACCCCACAGCAACCGGAAGAAGGGACGCTGCGGCCAGCCCCAGGTGGTCACGGGTCACCGCTCCCTGGGGTCACATGTTCCACGGGGTCCCCAGGACAGCAGAGCCAGGGACAGGTCAGCGAGGGCTGACCAGAGGCCCGCAGGCCTCTCTGGGTCTTCCCGTTCCCAGAACACACCAGGCCTTAGCTTCCCCATTCAGAAAGCAGATGTTCAGCATCAACTGAGGGCTGGTCAGTAAGCGGAGCCCAGGCTTTGGGCCAGAAGCCCCTCCATGCCCAGGGCTGTAGTGATGAGGACCACGGCTGCCTCCCCAGGCTGCGTGTGAGAACACAGCCCTGTCTCTGGCAGAGTCCCTCGTCATGGGCTGGCCCAGGGCTCCTACCTCTCTGTGGAGCCGCTGGCCTTGGTGCGAAGCAGGTGCCGGAAGAGTCCTTGGAACTGTGGGTCCCGGAAGGCCTCCAGGCAGCTGGGGACCCTGAGAGAGACATCCCAAAGCGGCCTTTCCGACGGCGTCTGCGTGGCCCTAAGAAGACAGAGGCGAGGCTGGATGCCACTCCCAGAGTGTCAACCACGGCCTTGTTAGGCCGGTTGCTGGGAGTCCTAGCTGAGGCGGCACAGGCTCCCGGGCTGGGGAAGGAGTCTGGGACTGAGAACGTGGGAGGATACCTTGATGAACATGAATGTGCTGCGGGCCCTGGGGCTCAGGGCAGCTGTGGGTGGGTGGCGAAGGGCCCAGAGATGTGCTGTCTGTGGCCTGAAGCCCCGTCCAGGGGAGCGGGAGCAGTGAGGAGAGAGCAGAGCTGGGGCCTGGCTGCATGGGAGGGGACAGGGCTGACCAGGACCAAGTGGGCCCACCTGAGCTGAAGGTCCAGGGCAGCAGTGAGGCAGGGTAGGTCAAGCAGTGCATGCAACACCTCCACGGCGGTGCCAGCATCCACCAGAGCTGGGAGGAGTGCCACGAACTCGGCCGTGAGGGGAGGGCTGTTCCAGGCCAGGAACTGCGGAGAAACAGGCTCAGACGGGGCAGCGGGATGTTAGCTGGCCGTGGCTTCATCCAATGGCCTCCTACTGCCCACTCGCCTCACAAATACACTCAGTTCAGACAGGGGCACCTGGGCCCACCCCTCCCGCTCCTTCTGTGCTCTGATGAGGCTGTCTGTCTTTGGCTACGTCTTGAGAGGTTTACTTACTATTATTATTGTGTATGCACACATACACATGAATGGAAGCTAAAGGGTCTCTCCTTTTGCCGTGTGGGTCCCAGGAACTGTCAGGTTTGGCATTATCTCTCTGGCCATATTTGCTATTCTAGTTTGTGCTTTGCAGCCCATTTCGTGCCAGTAGCGAAGGGAGCCACCTCTGAACTACTCTCGTTTTCTTCAGAAAAAGGAAAAAAGGGCTGAGTTGTGGGATAGGGGATGGCTCAGTCAGGCTTGCTGCACATGCAAAGCGGTGGGCACGGCAGTGGGCACCCCAAACTGCAGCGCTGGGGAGGCAGAACAGCACAGTCAGCCTAGCCACACCCCTGAGCTCCCAGAAATGTGGGAGATTCTATTTCAAAAGAGGGGTGGTGGGCAGGGCAGAGGGATGGCTCACAAACTCCAAACTCCCAGAGCCCACGTGAAGCTGGGGTTGGTAGCACAGATCTGTGACTCCAGTAGGCCTACTCCGAGGAGGCACAGACAGGAGGATCCCAGGAAGGCCACAGGCCAACTAGCCTGCTGTATGCGGTGGTTAGCAACTGGGGACCCTATCTCAAACAAGGTGGAAAGTAAGAACCCCAACACCCAAGTCTGTGCTTTCACCAACACACACGCACACCTAGACTCACACACACTGAATACATATGCACACGCGCACGCGAGAACACACACGCACGCACAGCTGAGGCTGTAAGGGCAGGAAAGAGCAGGTTAAGGATACATGCATGGGGAACCTTGGTTCTACGCCCCAGAGCCCGGGGCAACCTCCCAGAGGTGGGGGTGCATGCTGTACTCCCACGCTGGGAGGCAGATTTCTAGGGCCTCCTAGACACAGGCTAGTCTACTTGGAGAGTTCCAGATCAGAGAGAGGCCTCACTGTTTGAGGGCACCACCTGAGGTTGACCTCTGACCTCCAAGCACATGCACACAAGTGTATGCAGACCCTCAGCCCCGACAGGTCCATCACAGACCAGTACTAACGGGTTAAGACGGGCACAACTGCACACACCTGTAATCCAGCTCATGGATGCTGGGCTTCCCAGACAGAAACATCTCAAAGCGGAGGCCGGCCAGCTCAAAGTAACCCATACTGTCTCCTGCCTACACATGACTGTAGTTTTTTTGTTTTTTAAAGATTATTTTACTATTTATTTATGGATATAAGTGCTCTATCTGCATGTATACCTGCATGCCAGAAGAGGGCATCAGACCCCAGTGTAGATGGTTGTGAGCCACCATGTGGGTGTAGGAATTGAACTCAGGACCTCTGGAAGAGCAAACAGTGCTCTTAACCAGTAAGCCATCTCTCCAGCCCCTAGATTTTTCTTTTTGTTGTTTGTTGTCTTTGAGACACAGTCTATTTAGCCCAGGCTAACCTAGAACTTAATATGTAGACCAGGTCGGCCTCAAACACTTAAGAGATCCTCTTGCTTCTGTCTCCTGAGTTCTGAGATTAAAGGTGTACGCCACTTTATCTGGCTTTATTTGCTTTTTGAGTCAAGGTGTCTCAGAGCCCAGGCTGGCCTTGAACTCCTACTTCTGAGCCGATTGCCTCAGTTTCCCTTCTGCTGGGATAACATGTATGAAACATCACGTCTGGTTTTCATGTGGCTGTCAGAGATGACACTGTTTGTATGTTATGATATACATGAGGAGCACTAGCCCCAACACCTCACCTGTACCCCAAACTGAGATCAAATGAAAAGGAGGGGAGCCAAGGGCCCAGACCCAAGGAAGCCCACACGTGCCTTGAACAGACTCGGGAAGCTCATCCTGAGAAGGCTGAGGAAGTTGGGGTCAAACAGGGCCAGGTTGTGCGTGCAGAAGTGCGTGACTTCGAAGGCCAGGGTCGGGTTGTGAAAGCGCTCGGAAGGGAGCCTGCTGAGCAGGTGCTGGTAGACGGCTTCTGCATCCATGGCTGTTGCCTCACCTGAAAGACAGCACATGCCACCAGGGCACGAGCACTCAAAGGAAGGATTCCCTGTAGTTCTACAGGCCAGGGCTCAGACAGCCTGGCGGAGCTCCAGAACACCAAAAGCCTGGAGGTGTTTCCACCTTCCTGAGGACATGGGGCACAAACCATGGGGAATTGTCAGGAAGGTGGTAGGCCTCAAATTGACAGCAGGGTTCCGAGCTTGGCACAGAACTGTAACCTCAGCTTCTTAGGAGGCTGAAGCGGAAGAATCACAAGTTCAAAACCAGCCTGAGCAACTTTATGAGAACTCATTTCAAAATAAAGGAAGCTGGGTATGGTGGCACATTCTTTTAATCCCAGCACTTAGGATTAAAAGGGGCAGGTGGGATCTCCCTGAGTTCCAAGTTAGCCAGAAATGAGACCCTGTTTAAAAATAAGAAAGAACCAACCAACCGAGTAAAAACAGAACAGAGCAATCAAAATTCAAAAAGGGCTGGTGGTATGGCTCAGTGGTAGAGCACCTGCCTAGAATCCCCCAGTGAGGGGCTGGGGTGTGGCTCAGTGGCAGAGCACCTACCTAGAATCCCCCTGTGAGGGGCTGGGGTGTGGCTCAGTGGCAGAGCACTTGACTAATATATGAAGGACCTGGGTTCCATGCCCAGCACTGCCAATAAACAACAAAACAAAACTGTAAATGTGATAACCTGAGTGTCTGGAAGAAACTGCTCTTGCGGCCTGCTTCCCATGTACCCAGACTCACCATGGTTCAGGAAGAACTGGGCAAGGGGCACCAGTGCCCGCTCGGTGCCTGGGTCTTCCCCCAGCCTCCTGTGCAGGGCCTTCAGGCAGGAGAGGGTGCGGTAAAGGAAGGAGGGGTCCTGCCGGCACAGCACGTCCAGCACCAGCACGGCTTCCACCAGGCACTGCAGGGACACAGCTGCGTCAGAGGGTCCAGGCAGCCCCTGCCCCGGCCACCCCGAGGCTACTTACAGCTTTCTGTAGGTCGGAATCCCCCTTCCTCAGCGCTCCTGGAACAGAGAAAGGTGACTTGTCTCACACTGCCCTGAAAGGCTGTTAGGTGACAAGAGCCCACCCTGGAGGGCATTGTGGGGCAGCGCCAGGTAGCCTGCACTCACTTCGGTTACTCTGCTCCAACAGGCGCTGGCAGTATTCGAAGGCCACCTCCCTCAGGCGCTCCCGAGGGGGCAGCAGTCTGCTGGCGGTGGAGGCGGCCGAGAGCACGGACAGGGTGGAGCCCTCCAGCTCCGACCTGTCGTCTGGAGGAGGAAGGGACAAGCGTGATGGCCCTGTGTGGATAGGCAGCCTCCCAGAATGCTCAAGCTCACCTCAAGTATGAGGCTGCCGCCACCGGCTGCTAGCTGGCTTTTCCGTATTTTAGTGTATGAAAACAGGCCTTGCTGTGTAGCTGAGCTGGATCTCAAGCTTACAACCCTCCTGCCTCAGAACGCCACGTGCCAGCATGATAGGTATGGACTGCTGCACTTGGCTTCATTTTGGGTTTTTGTTGTTTTTGAGACAGGGTGTCAAAACAGCCTGGGTTGTAGCCGGTGCTGACTTCAAACTAGCTGAGACTGGTCTTGAACTCCTGATCCTTCTGCCTCCACCTCTCAAGTGCTGGGCTCACAGTCACATACCACCATCAACAGCTCAGCCTGACTTGTCTATAACCCAAGCCTGCAGACGGGCGAGGTCACACAGGCCTGTGAATGAATGGCTGCTTTCGATGACCTTGCTGCCTACCTGGGAACACTCTGGAACACTTCCTGGCTGTGTTCTCAACTCTTCCTGGGGCCAGCGGGCCTCTATTGCTGGCTTCCAAACTCATCACACACCTTGCTTGGCCTACAAACAGCTGTGCTGTCCGGCTAGGGCACAGCTGCCTCCTGCCCACCCCCTACTTGCACCCGAGACACGGCGTACTTGAGCCCCCTCCTCCCTCCCTCTGGAGCACCTGCATCTGGGCTGCCCGGGTCCTCCGGGCCGCTGTGCAGCAGCCATTTCCGCAGCATGGAGAAGGCCTGCATGTTCAGCCACTGGTCCTCTGTGAAGTGCTGGCCCGTGGAGAGCACGGTGAAGAAGTCAGAGGCCACCGCTCCGTCCACCTCAGTGATGGGACCCGGCTGTGGGAGGAAGGACGGGGCTGGGACAAGCCTGGCAGGCTCACAGACTCCTCAGGAGAGCAGAACTAGGAGGCTGCGAGCGCCAGCATGGCCAGGGGCCTGCGGTACCTGCCTCCTCCCTAGGTTGTATGGCAGGACGCACCCACTCCTAGACCCAGGCAGGCCTACCCCAAGACCTAAAGACTCCAGCTCAGACACATGCCTTACACCCTCTGTAGGCACACAAGCTGAGGAGCTAGGGCTAGCCGGACTCCAAGTGCACGCCCCATCCCACGGCACCCACCACTCCAAGGTGGAGGCAACAACGAGGGACCTTAGCACAACCAAGAGGACGGATGTGCAGTGTCCACAGGAGCCGCCTGGTGAGACTGGCTATGCGTGCCGTCCATGTGTCGGAGAGAGAGCAAGCGCTACCGGAGGAGGGACTACGGCTGTTTTTGTTTTCATGACCGGGTCTCATGTACATTAGTCCGTCCTCAAACTCGCTACGCAGCAGAGGATGACTGAAATCCCGGTTCTCCTGGGTTGTGGGGCTCAGGCCTCGAGCACGCTGAGTGAGCCACATCCCCAGCATGTGACGGGGCTGTTGTGATTTCTGCTGCCTGGGACTCACCTGCCGGGTCCTGGGCGTGGAGAAGAAGCCCCCTGAATATGGAAGGCCTCGCTGGATGCTGGCGTAGCGCAGCCAGTCCACCAGCCTTTTGCTGAGCAGGTTGGTCTGATCTGCAGGGAGGGGAGGGCGTGCAGGGGGGGAAGGTAAACCCCCAGACTCCCAGGAGGGGCTGAGTTTGCTCAGGAGAACCCCGCACCAGGGAGATAACCTGGGGAGGTCCACAGGCTTCTCCAGACAGCTCAACCCTCCTCCCACCGCACCCTAGACCACAGCCGCCATGGGAAAGGAGGCAAGGAGGCCTTTTGGAAGTGTCCAGTACCTTCCAGGAGGGCGCCTGGGGCCAGGCCAATGATCGTGGACAGGGCGGGGAGGAGGTGCCTGACACTGGGCCCCTCAGGTAGCCGGTTCTCGAGGATTTGGAAGATGCACTGGCTCACACATCTGATCTCTCCCTTTCTGTCTCCCTTTAAAGCAGGGCAGAGAGCTGAGGGCACGAAAAGTGAGGATCCTACCAGCTTGGGGACCCGAATTCAGTCCCCAGGAAGCATCCTGGGTGGGAGCTGATGCTCAGAAACATCACACAGGCAGCCCAGGCCTGAAGCCTGGCCGAGCTATCAACAGAGAGACCTGGTGTGCCAGCACCCATGCGTGGGGCGGGGGAGCGCAGAGGCCTATGCTCGCTTGAGATAGTCATTAGACATCCAAGGAAGTGGGGTCCCGGCTGAGTGGCTCCCCGTGACACCTGGGTACATGGAGGGACACACACCAGCCTGCTGTATTCCGGAGACACCAGAACCACCGGAAACAGACGCCACCCCCGAACCCCCACCCGTGGCAACTGTGGTACCTGGGCCAGGAGCACAGAGGCCACTAGACTGAGCAGCCGGGTGTTTTGCGTGTGATCACAGGACAGGGCCAGGTCATCGAGAGGTGACATCTCTCTCAAGATGGCGGCACAGAGGACCTGTAGCTGCTCTGGGCTTGTGGGTGAACAGAGGGTCGTCTGCAGTAGGTCCATACACATCGTCCCCAGCCTGCAGGGTTGGGGGGGGTTAGATCCCAGCGGGCGACAGATCAGATCCTTGGCGAGTGCGTCGGCACGCCCTGGAGGCACAGGGACCCAGTGCTGCTAGTCGCTCACCTCCGGGGGTACTTGGTGGCTGAGACAATGAGGAAGAGCCTCTGCAGGGCATCCGTGGTGGCTGGCCCCGGGGCCTCCTGCAGCAGCTTAGTGACCCGGGCGCAGAAGCGTTGCAGCTCCTCATCCTGGATATCCCTAAGGAAGACAGAGGGAGCATGGTGCTGTCCTGAGCCATAGGCACATCCCCAGCTGGGGGGGCCATCCCTAACCAGCGCAACAGTCACCCAGGCTCACAGTGCCCAGGGGCCAATTATAGAAGGGGAGTGTGGGCAGGCTCCTCTCCAGGAACTGATGTGCAGCACCTCCAGTTTCCTAGTGACACCCTTAAGTGGTGACACAAACAACCTTGTTCTGTTGTTCCAATGGCAAAAAACAAAACAAACAAAACAAAACACCACATTTTTGAGACTTTGCAGCCCAGGCGAGGGTGGAGCTGGCAGCAATCCTCCTGCTTCAGATTCCGAGTGCTTCTATTACAAGAGTGAGCCACCACACTCAGAAAGGCTTTCTGAGCCTTTCAAAAGTCAGGAATATTTTAATCCAAGTTGTCTCTCCTCCTCTTCCCCCAGAGAGTCTTGCCATATAGGCCAGACTCAAGCTGTTTATTCTCCTTCATCCTCCCATGATGGACAGGGGCGCATAACCATACCTGGCTCCCATTAACCCCACCTTTAATGGCACTGATGGAGTTTGAACCCAGGGCCTTAGGCATAAAAAGGAAACACCCTTCCTTTGAGCTCCATTACCAGCCCTCTCAAGCTGGCTTTCAAACATGCCTCAGTGAGCCTCCCACTTGTGAGAAGACTACAAACCTTCTATAGTGAACAACAAAGACTAGAGCAGAGGATAAGGTAGGCCTGAAAGAACATGTCACTGGCTCAACTCGAATACACCAGCCATCGGTATGAAAATCTGTTTCTCAGCTTGGACACAAAGCTTAACAGCAGGAAAACAGCTTGGACTGCGGTTCAGCAGACGGGCACTTGCGCAGACGCATGCAGCCTGGGTTTCATCCCCGGCACTACAAAATAGAGGCCCATGATGAAAAAATGCTGGGTGTGGTGGCGCACAGCTTTAATTCCAGCACTCAGGAGGTAGAGGCGGGTGCACTTCTGTGAGTTTGAAGGCAGCCTGGGTTACAGAGTGAGTTCCAGAGGCCACACCAAGTAAGACTCTGTCTCACCCAACCCCAAATAAATAAACATGTTTGAATGAAATGGATGAGGTGCCTGTGGGCGCTGAGGAGGGCCTTCAAGTTCCTAAGCCATGGCTGACACCTGCACTGTGGTCTCCTGACAGGGCCGGCAGTTTGCACATTGCCCCATTCTGAACCTGCCTGCCAGCTGCTTGAACGTGGCTCCTGGGAACCAAGAGGAAGCCAGGCAGCCTATGTCTCTGCGGCTCTCACCCGTCCTAGTGCTCTTTGAAGGCTGCAGGTGATCTCCAACAGCTCTGCTACCACACCAGCCTACTCTGCTTTCTACATTCTCCACCCAGAGCCAGGGTGCCTGCAGAACAGGCAGGTTACGGAAAGGGAGACACGATCTGGCCCGGGGCTGTGCCTAGCCGGGGCACAGCGATAAACCACATCCTCTACAAGACAGGATGACCGGAATAGATACCCTGTGTCCTGTGGCTACAGCTCTGACAGAAATAATGCCAATGCATTCCTTTGCCTTTCATTTCCTCCGCTTCATGACCCCGAGTAGAATCTGAGTGGGAAACCTCATTTTCATGTTGGCATGAGGTCACATGCTAAGCAACACGAGAGTCCCCATGTAACACACTGCTTAAAAGTGCACACCCAGCACTGAAGGCAAGGAGGGCTGGGGCCCGTGGCAGGCTGTGAGGCTGGGTCACCAAGCGCTTCCCTAAAAGAGCTCAGAGAATTACCTTGCTGTTTCAAAATTTACATTTATTTACTTATGTGCATGTGGGGAGCCCTCGAGGGGAGATCAGAAGACAAAAAAGGAGCTTTCTCCTTGCTCCTCGAGGGTCCCAGGGGTGGAACCGCGGCTGTCATTCAGGCTTGGCAGCAAGTGCGTTGACCTGTTGTGCAATCCCTATCTTGGGAGTTCTGCCTTGCTCGCAGACCCCAGACTTTACCTCTTCCACGCTCTTGCTCCCTGAGATCCCAGAGACCCTTTCTATTCTAATCTTCCCAGACAAGTGGCTCAGCTCAGAGTCCAGATTTGTCCCTTTGGTTTTTAAGTTTACCAAATGCATCAAGTCTGGGCTTCTGGTTGCCATTTCCTTCGTTTAATCAAGTGCCATCAAGTCTTGGACGGGCTAGTTAGGAAGACGGGCGCAACCTAGGCGCTCAGAGAACGGCCAGCGCTAGCCTGGCACCAGAGGAAATTCCTTGGTTGGGTTGTGCGCCTCACTGCTCCAGGCTGGCCGTCCCCGAAGCCACGCGGGGACCCGAGCCGCGCCGCGTGACCGCCACCTCCCCGCTCCTCCCCGGCTTCGGGGCTCAGCCCCAGATCCGCAGACCTGGCCTGATGCAGCAGACTCTCCGCGCCCGCCGGGAACATGCCGCCGCACCTCAGCCCCACCAGCTCCCGAAGCCTTGCCGCGGACTTCCGGGAGCGCGTCACGTGACCTTCACGTGATCGCCCCGCCCCTTTCGCCCCGCCCTCTTATCCCCAGTACCGCCCCCACCACGCCCCGGCCGCGTCACGTGGGAGAACCTGGAGCGCAAGCTGCCGGCTTCCGGTGTCACATCAAGTGGGCGGACCCTGCTAGAGCCAGACCGGCTTCCGGTGCTGCGGCAGGTGGGCGGGGCGGACGCCGTGGACCAATGAGTTGCGGCACAGAAGCCGGTTCCGGCCTGCCCTGGGGCGTCGGTCAGCCTGCAGCCAGGGGACTCCGGAACTGTGGTCCTCTGAGGCCGGGGCTTCTGGCTCCGGAACAGCTCCCTTTCATCCCGGAACTGCTAGTGGTAGGTTGTGGGCTGGAGGGACTGGGCGCACAGTTTAGCCCTGCAGCGCCGGCCTAGCATCACCCAGTAAGGGACTGAGGGCGTGACTCGGTGCTAGAGCACTTGTCTAGCCCGCGTGCGGCCCCGGGACCATCTCCAGCAAGACAGGAACCTGTGTGCCAGGCACTGATCATTCATTTTCCCTTCCTCTACCCACACACATACACCCACTAAGCAGTATTACCATGGGTGGTATTTGATCTGTTTCTGAAAATCTGTAGCAGGTTATTTGGTGGTCTTATTAGTGGAAAATAGTTTTGAAAGGATCAGACTAACTTTGTAACCTATATGTCTTCTAAAGCCTATATTTTTGAGTTTTAGGCCCAGGTTAAGCTAAAGCCTCGTAGTACCTTTCCAGAGAACAGAGGAATGTGACCCTGGCCATCTGTGAGGACAGATTATAAAAAAGTGAGCAAGCAACGACCTTCACTCAGCAAAAAGAATGACCAGACTCTTGTCTTCGAGATAGTGTTTCTTGGCAACCAACCTAGATGGCCTCAATCCTTCTGAGTAGACGCTGACCTCCAGCCAAAAGCCCGAAGCCCCGGTCATTCAAGGATGAGCTAACCACCCCCACCTTCAATTGCAGCCGCATCCACACTTGGCAGGACTGGCCAAGCTTGAGCACCTAAGACTAACCAGTCATCTCACTTTATAGCTTCCTCATCCAATCCTGAATTGCCAAGACTGCAACCCCTAAAAATTCCGGTGCTTTGTCCTTTAAAATCCCCAGGCCTTTGTCTCCCAGTGCCACTCCTTGCTGACCAGCAGGGGTGACCCCATTGCGCAATGGTCAGAATAAACCTCTTGCGATTTTGCATCGATGAGATCTGGTCTCCTGGGTTCTCTTCATCACTTCTGAAAATTAGGCTCATGCTGGGCCTAACAGTTTAAGTGGAAAAAAAAAAATAGAGCTGGAGAAATGGCTCAGTCAGCAAGTTGCTTGCCATGCAAGAAGGAGGACTAGAGCTTGAGTTCTCTGCGCCACACGAAAATATACAGGCACACGCTGGGCAGTGGTGAGGCACGCCTGTAATCCCAGCACACCAGAGGTGGAGGCAGGCAGATCTCTGAGTTCGAGGCCAGCATGGTCTACAGAGCGAATCCAGGACAGACAAAGTTACATAGGGAAACCCTGTCTCAAAAAACCAAAAATAAATAAGAAGAAGAAAAAAAAAAGGAAGTTGACATAGACAGAGGAGCTGTCACGGTGGGAACCTGGCCCCATGTCTGTCTGGCTCTCAATACCTAGTGCCTGTGACTTAGAATAAGCCAGGCTTCAGAGAGAAATGGGCAGACGTGGAAACATGGCTCAACTGATCACGTGCTTTCTCTGCGAGCACGAGAACCATCCCTAGGTGGCCACGTCAAATTCCCATCACTTGGGGAGGTGGATAGGAGTGTCCAGGGTTTGCCTGGACAGCCAGCCTATCTCACTTGGCAATGAGAGACCCTGTCTCAAAGAACAAGGCAGGGCAGGGAAGAAGACACAGTGGGTGACAGGCCTGATGAGCTGAGTTTGGGTCCCTAGAACCCACGTCAAAGCAACGCATCATAGTGTAAGCATTTGTAATCCCAGCGTACCAACAGGAGATGGAGGGAACAAGAGAATCTCCCGAGGCTACAGGACCAGCTATTCTGGCTTACACAGTGGCAAAGAGATCCTGTCTCAAACAGGGTGTCAGATGTCTGCCAGGGCCGCTGAGGCAACCATGGTGTGGTGCTTTGAATGAGAATGGGTCCCATAGGCTCATATACGTGGATGCTTTGTCCCCAATGGGTGGAACAGTTTGACAAGGATTAGGAGACGTGGCCTTGTTATAAGGAGGTGTGTCACTAGGGTGGGGCTTTGAGGTTTCAAGAGCCCACACATTCCCAGTTAGCTGTATTTTTTACTTGTTCCAACCTGTGAGCTCTCAGTTACTGCTCCGGCACCATGCCTGTCTGTTGCCATGTTCCCTGTCAAGATGGTCATAGGACTCTACCCCTAGAACTGCGAGCTGCAAATTAAATGCCCCTCCCCCCCCTTTAAAATAAGTTGCCTTTGTCATGGTGTCTCTGCACGGACACCTGCAGACACACCCTGGCCTAGCCGGGGACCTGTGTCAAGAGTCAGGGCGATGGGCTTGCTCTTGTCCTTTGTACACCAGCTCCATCTCCTCAGAACTCGGGTGACACACAGGGGACCCTGGAGTCCTCAGATCACGGGCACCCGCAGGACTCTTTCTGACGCCATGTCTTCCTGGACTGGACACCCAGGAAGTTTGAGAGGAGGCAGAGTGTCCAGCCATTTCCCTTCCATATCGGAAGCACCTGGGGTCAGGTCTCTCCCTCCCAGGAGCAGGGGTGTGTGTCCAGGCCATCTGTCTGTGTGTCCAGGTCTGTCTGTCCTCCACAGTCGCCCACTCACAGGGACCACTCTCACCCGTGGGTGTATCTCTTTAATATATAATTTTTATTTCTTTGTTATAGAAACAAACGCTAAGAGGAGAAAACAGAGCTTCCCCACCCACATACAACAATCGAATAGATAAAAGAACAGTTCAAATGAATGAAAAAGAAAGTAGAATTTTTCCACTTTGTTATAGCTTTAAAACATGAACATCTAATAATAGTTAGAAATCACATTCAGGTGTCAAAACATTTTTTAAAAAAAGGATGGTTCTGTTATAAAAAAATACTGTATCCCATCTGAAATGAGCGCCCCGGGGTGCTGCTTGGGACGAGGTCCGCAGGCCTTTCTCACCCCGCCTCCTGGGTGGGACCTTTTCACATCCCATCTCTGGAAGTAGGATTCCCAGCATAGGATACCACTGCTTTTAAAGCACTACGTGTTAAACATGTCATGAAAATACTTTAGACAGCCACTGTAAAAAACAAAAACAAAACCACACATGCGCGCACACACACTCCCTGAACACCCTCCCCCCATTACTTTTACAGAATTACCATTCGGTTAAGAAAAGGAACCACCTCACTATTGGCTTTAGCCCCTCCCTCACACGTGCACAGCTGCTGTCCCCCAGGACACAGCAGAATCCAAGGAGAGACCTGGAAGACAGCCTGCCCTCTCCTTCCCGCCCTCCCCCAGGGGTCACGCTAAGGACTATCAGGGATCTCAGATGCCCGTCCGCCCAGGAAGGGCGTTAAGAAGGGAAGATGGGAGGGAAGGGCCCAATTAAAAATATTAGGTTTTTGAATTCCCAACTGTACCAATTACAAAAAAATTCTTGGACCAGCTAATTCAGACCGAGAAGCCAAGGCGCCATTTGGACACATACAGGCCAGAGAAGATGAACCTGGTGGATCGTGGGGCAGGCTCTAGCGGGCATGCCAGCCCCAGGAACTCAGGAGGTGGTGCCGCCGTTGCTCCAATGGCAGCAAGAGCTTCAGATGCAGGGGCTGTGGACCACGCCTGGTCGCTGTTCGCACTCACGATTCTTCCTGGCTCCTGGGGCCCAGGTTCCTCCACACCGGTCACCTTGTGAGCAGTCCAAGGAGCAAGGGCTCCGGAGGTAGGATTCCAGCAGGCTCTTTCAGTCCTCTCGCAAGGTGGGGCTTGGTGGAGCTGGCGGGGAGGTAGACGAGGGCCGGGGGAAAGGGGTCCTGGGGGCTCTAGGTAGCCTTAGCCCCAGTGCAGAAACACACGTGCTGCTTTCCATGGTGGCTGAAGCCCTCTGAATGACCGCTAAGGGGTCTGCTTTCCTTACCACCGCCTGCACCAGCTCAGGCGGCCCTCGGCCTTCAGTCCCGCCAGCTCACCTCCCCCTCATGCTCCCTCTGGTTGGACACTTCCTCCCATCAGGGACTTCAGGGACCCTCTGTCCTGCCTGGAGGCCAGGTGGTGCCTCTGGTAAGGCCCGTGGCTGGCTTCATCTGTGGGTCGCGCCTAGGCAGGCTGCTGTGCCTGACCCCTGAAGGGTGGCTCTGAAACATTCCTTGCAGCAGCAGTGCTGAAGCCTGCTGGAGGCAAGCCTGGGGCGGGGGCGGGGGCGGGGGGGGGGGGAACAGAGGAGCAGGTAGGACCAGCAGCCAGAAACACTCGAAGAGCTTTTGTGTTTTAAAACATGAGTAGAAAACTATTTCCCCTAAACAAAGTCAGTGAAACGGGTCTGTGCTTTACTTCAAAGGAAACACCTGTGGTTGGGTCAAAAAAGTCCACATGCGAAGCGGCTGTCCCTGAGGGGGTTGGCGAGAGGGGCAACCAGAGAAAGGGAAGCAGCAACTCCAAGAACGACAGTTTCTTGGACAGTCCCAAATTGTTCAAACCACAAGCCTTAGGAAGCGGGTGCCACGTGCCAGTCTGTGGGGGCAGCCAGGTCACACCCTGCTCTGTGTCACCAATGTAGCAGCTTTTGGTACAAAAAACAAACTATGAGCAGCACCGGGCCGTGGTGGTACATAGGCCTGTCACTCCAGCAATTCATGCAATTCAAGCGCGAGTTCAAGGCCAGCCGGGGCAGCTTTGTATGGCTCCGTCTCAAGCTTAAAAAAAATAAAAATCAAAAGGGCTGGGAGTGCAGCTCAGCAAGCATGTGAGAGGCCCTGAGTTTAACCTCTGGCACAGGAAGAAACAAGACAAAAAAAAAAAAAAAAAAAAAAAAAAAAAGAAAAAAGAAAAAAATCAAGCAAAAACAAACAAACAAAAAACAAAGCGAACAAAACAAAACAAAAAACAGAGCCCAACAAGTAGGTGGGACAAGAGCCACCCTGAACCCAAGGCCTGGAGCAGGGAAGCCACAAGATGAAAGGTGGAAGAGGACTGAGGCCGGCGGAGAGCCTTGGCTACTGTCTGTTCTGTGTGGGGTTCTTCACCCCACCCTCATCCCCAAGCCACAGTGCACTGAGAGGGCCGTCTCGGGGGAAGCTGGTACCTGAGGCGTCGATCTTTGGAACAACCTGACTTACCCTTTATGGTATTGCTTCTAAACAGAGGTATTCTGAGACTGGAGGCCAGGACACAGGTGACCGCTCTGTCACCCTGAGCCAAAGCAAGGGGCTACCCTGTGGCCATCTGTGACTTCCCCGCTAGCGATCTGGATGTGGTGCTCCCCACACACGAGGGATCTTTCACTAGAACAAAGGCTCGTGTTCCTTTCTGAATTATTCTAAGCAGGCACTGAGCTATTCATGTGGGGAGAGTCGGGCTGGCTGAGCAGGTTGGGGAGAGCAACGCAGACCGTGAGGTTCTTGAGGAATAGTAATTCCTCACAGTCCACCCCACCACCTGCTCATCTCTACGGTTTCCTTCTTGTGCTTACCTAACCCCACCTTGCTCTGTCTAATCCCTGTGCAGAGGGGCCCCCTCACCTCTACCAAGGAAGACACTGCCCCTGTCACCTGGCTGTACCCACCTTCAGCTCTCCCACAGGGTTGCAGAAGGCCACTCCCCCTTTCAGAGGGAAGATGAGTGGTTGCCTGTTACCTCAATCCCTGGCAGCCTGTCGGGGGGCAGGGAGAGCCGTGGGACAGGGGTGGGGGCCTACAGTGCAGGGGAAGGATCTGCAGAACTTCCTCATGGACGGTGAGCCGGACAGCCCATCTTACACAGAGGCAAGGCACCAAGAGCTAAGGACAGACATGCTTATGAGCCCTGGATGCTGGACTGAAAGCTGAGGGAGTGTGTGGGGGAGATAGAAGAGGCGAGGGGGGGGGGCAGGAATAGAAAAAGGAAGGGAGAAATAGAGGAAGGAAGGGAGAGGGGAAGGGTAGGGAGAAGGAGCAGCGTGAGAAGGCAGGCAGGGGTCTCTCCACCTCCAGTTGCCATGGTGACTTCTTACAAGCTTGCAGCCTCTGAGTCTAGGAAGTGCCAGATACGAAAGTCAGAGAGAGTCAAGGTGTGGACAGCAGACACCTGGTCTACCAGGGAACACTTAACAAAGCAAGACAAGCTCCGATGAAGCGATGAAGCCCTGCCAGAGACGGGAGCCCTGGAGGGCTCTGAGCCACAGGCCCCCGGCTTCTCATCTGTGCCTGAACCCAGGGCTCCCAGCCACGGTCCTCACAATGATGACTCTCCTGGCTCCTGATCCAAGCTCTGGCTTCCACAGACGGCTTAGCTGATCTCCACTTGGTGGCTCGGAGCTCACAGGGGCACGCTCCGGCTAGCTGTGCATTCCTGCTCTGAGCACGGGCTACTTTGGGTCTGAGCTGGGGTGCTGTCCACTAGATGGCCAACCTACTTCCTGAGGCAGCGGCACCAGGCTAGCCTCCCGTTCTAGCTCAGGCTGTCCAACCAGGGGCTCAGGATCCTCTGCCTTAAGGCCACGCAGGACATTGGGACAGTTGTGTGACCCACTCTTCCTTCCACATCCTTCCGCACACATGCTGAGGTAAGAGGGTCTGCAACAGAGGGTGGATGTTTCAGGACCCAGGAGAGCAAACTGTTCAGGGCCAGACTGAGGGGACCTGATGACAGATGTGATGGCACGGTGACCCACAGTTCCATGCAGGGGCCACACATGGCGCCTACCATGACAATCCACACACAATCTTATCTGCCTTGGAGGGTAGCCATGCACAGGCCTGGAGTAAATGATGGGGAACCTGATGGAGCGGAAGACCAGCAGGTGGTATCAACATCCCTTGTCACTCCAGACCCCAAAGCAACTCAGAGACCCACCTCATTTGTACTTTTCTAACCCCATGCTCACACCAGGCACACAGAGAGAACATGCTCATGCCAGGTACAAAGAGGAGATGTGGGAGACAGCCCTTTGCCCACTCCAAGGGGCAGCTCCACCCACAAACCCTCCCCCACCATCACCCCAGCCCAACTTCTCTGTCCGAGGCAACCGGCAGGAGGCCTTCAGAGCACAGCTTCCTTCCAGCTTGAGGTTTGGGACTACAGAAAGGACCGGCTGGGGAGCCTGGAAGCGAGCTCCAGAGAGGCGGGCTCCGCACTTATCCCTGATGTGTGGGGACTGGCGGCCTCCCACGACCACAGCCTCCAGGTCGAAGCCTGCCAGCCCTTCCAGCAGGCTGTCCGGCTGAGGCCCCGCTGAGATCCGCTGCTCTTCGCTCACGGGCTCTGTCCGCTGTTGGAGTCCGAGGCCCGCCCTCCAGGAGGACCAGCGCTGAGTTCCTGGAGTCTCCTGTCTCGCAGCTGCTTCCACTGCTTCTGCGAAACCAACTCTCATGCCCAGGCCAAGGGAAACACTCACTGTCTCCGGCTCAAGTGGCCTGGTGTTAAAGTGCTGCTGGCAGCTTGTCTGGGCATACAAAGGGGCCGTCCCTGGGAGTCGGAGTCCTCGCATGACCCTCACACTTTGGTTCTTGCCACACTGGGATCAAACTTGGCACCAACAGCTGTCCGGAGAGGTAGTTTCCCTTCCGGTGGATAACAGTCACGGACCCCCGGCTTCGGCAGAAGAGAGGGTTTCCATGTTCACACTGGACAGGTCTTCGGGCGCTCAGGAAAACTGGAATGTGGGGGGGGGGGGGGAGCAGCGCACCTCACAGTCCCTCGCTGCCTGCCAGGAACACAGGGGCGTACCCGCTGCTGTTGTCCGAGGGCACACGCCAACATCCTCCCTGCTGAGCAAGGGGCTGGCCGACACCCCCTGGAGCTGCCCGGTTTCCTGGACATCCACTGCAGCTTGCGGCTTTGGGCTCTGCCAGGGCTGTGGGAATGGACGCCATGGGCACTGACCCTGGGCCGGTTCCCCACCGGAAGCACTTTGCAACATCAGCGTGGGAGCCGTGCCAGTCCTTCTTGGAGTTATCGGGGAGAGCGGCATGTTTACAGGGCTGCTGTGGGTGTGCGCCCGGGCCTGTCGTCCCTCAGCTGGCTTCCACCGGGGATCCAAAGACACGTGGCCCCTTCCGTGGGTCTCAGATCTGAGATGAGGCCAAATTCCACGTTTAACTGAAAGAAATATTTAGGGTCCAAAGCCAAAGCAGACCTCCGTGAGCCCAATCAATGCCGCAGCTCTGTCACTTTTGGGGAGTGGGCTCTGTGACCCAGCCTGTGGCTGGGAGGGTCTCGTCGTCCTCTGGTCTCTTCCCCACAGTGAGAAACAGGAAGTCTGCGGACCGGCTCCCAGAGACAGCAGCCTCGGTCTGCGCTGCGCTTCTGCCCAGTCCTGGGTGCGGGCTCTTCTTGTGGGTGCTGGCTGGGATGGGTTCCTGAGGAGCTGGGCTAGGCCTTCTCCCACAACAACTGGGGAGAGGCGATGGCATGAGGGAGGGGCAAAAAACACACACAGAACCCCCAGATTCGTACAATCAAGTTGTCTGAACGTGTTTATGTGTTTGTTTCAAACCTTGGGAGGACAGGAGATAAAAAGGAAATTGTCCGAGTATGGCGGCCACCCTCGTTGCACGTGCGTGTGGCAGGTCGCTGTGAGCCTCTCTCCGGGTCGGTCCGTGGTGCAGCCGCCGGTGCGCTCCTGTGGCGTGAGTCCCGCTCCACCTTCCCGAGGCCAGTTCACTCGCCGGTCCCCGGGCCCTGAGGGCCGGCGGCTGCCAGGGCCGTGGGCTGCGGGGCGGCTGTCCCACTGGGCTCCTCTATCCGGGACCTCTTGACCTCAGGCTCCCCGCTGGAAGAGGCAGACGTGGTCGTGGAGGTGGCTGGGGTCGGTGTGGCAGCGGCTGCCACCGAGACGGCTGCTGCTGGCTCCTCGGGCCCTACCTCGCATACCCGGGCGATGACCACCGGCGTGGACGAACTCGCCTGGGCCGCCAGGAGCTGCAGGGGGCTGGTGAGGGCTGGGGGTGGGAAGAAGAGGTTACCTGAGGGTCCCCACTAACTCACCCGAGCAGTCAGGCAGAGCCACACTGCCATCTGTCAACACCTCACACACAGGCTTCCTCCCCCGCCCTCGCTGAGTCTGGGTCAGACACTCAGGGACCCTCTCAGCTGCTGCTTCTGTCGCTCTGAGGTCGCCCCCCATCTCTGGTGCCTAATCTTTACTGTCCCCTCAGTGGAAACAGCCCCTCCCCCCGGGCATGTCTGTGAGGGGCTTTCGAGATCGGGGTCTTGAAGAGGGAAGACCTTTCCCAGCTGCAGTGACGCCATCTTACACTGGGATCCCTGACTGCTGGCTGAGGACCAACTTCCTCTCCCTGCTTCCTGGCCACTACCATGCCTTCCCGGACATGGTGGACTGTACCTTCAAAGCGAGCCAAAAGTAACCTTCCCTTCCTTCCTCCCCTTTTTCCTTCTTCCTTCCTTCCTTCCTTAAACTGCGTTTGGAACTGAGTATTTTATTATGGCAACAAGAAAAAGCACCGCCATCCTGGGGTCCACTGTCGTCTAGCACCCCACCCTGCAGGCTGCCCAACCCCCACTGTCACGCTGGTCGACATCTGGTGTCCCTGCCTGGCACACAGCAGGCTCGGGACACTGAGCTGATGATGAGGAAAGCGAGAGATCCCCTGAGCTGCGCTGCCCTGCCTGTGGGCAGATCCCTGGCGCCAGGTTCAGGCTGAGGGCAGGCCGGGGGGCCTCACCGTAAGCGTTGCCAGTCAAGTTATTCGTGGGCACGGTATGCTTTCCGTTCTGAGTGACAGCCCGGACCGGAAGGTGGTGCTGCCCGATGGTCACTGGGGTAGCCGGCTGTAGGATGGTGACTGTGTGTCCGGGGACTCCAGGGGCCATCTGGCTGGCGACCGTCTGGATCACTCGGCTGGCTGCGGGGATTGTGGCAAATGCTATGGTGGGCTTCTCTTCCAAACCTGTGGGGCAGGCAGCCAGTGAGAACCACACACGGCCCCAGACACCAAGACCCTCCAAAGCCTTGGGTTGGCCGAGGGGCCGGGGAGTGAGGTGGCACTGGGAGAGAGGGCTTCCCAAGGAAAACCCTGGAATTTATGTTTAAATTAACAGGACTTCAGAACATGCTGGGAGTGGAGGTAGAAGAACCAGGGGTTCGAAAGTCACCGTTGGCTACATAGTGAGTTCAAGCTTAAGGTCAGTATGGGCTTCACAAGACTGTCACACACACCAAAAACAAAATGAAAAAAGTATACATGCGCGCGCGCGTGCGCACACACACACACACACACACACACACATGACTATAACCAGCCCAAATTTAATCTGTATAACCTGTATATAATCTGAATATAACATAACATAATATAATCTACTCTGTATAACCATAACCAACCCAAATTTAATGTACTGTTTAGAATGAGACAGTTTGCTTCTACGACTGTGACTATCCCCTTCACCAAGATGTCGGGTCTGTGATTATAATCACTATTACTTTGTTGTTGTTGCTGGCGGCGCTACGGGCTGGACCTAGCTAAGGCTACGTGCGTGCTGGGTCTCTGGTCTGAGCTTCATCCCCACAGGGCCACTGCTGCCCCTTCAACTTTTTAAGACAAAGTCTAGTTAGCAACGCAGGCTGGCCTTGAGCTCGCCGAGCGGCCCAGGCTGGCCTCTACTTTCCCAGGGGTGGGGAAGACAGGCCTGTGCCGTCAGCTCAAGCCTGTTTCCAGTAGGATGACATGAAAATACGAAGATAATAGTGAGCCCGAGTCCCCCGAGGGAATAACGTCCAAGGGACACGGCTGTCCAGAAAGTTCTGGGGCTGCCTTTCACAAAACCAAGGGCGCCACCAGCATCTCTCCTTGAGCTCCCCAGACCGGCTTTCTTTTGGAAGCGGGTACAGGGTACATGCCCGTGATCTAAGCGCTGCTGAGACAAGAGGGCAGTGAGTCTACGCCAGCTCGACGGGGACACACAGCGTAACACCATCTAAAATAAGCCGGGGCTGGAGAGCTGGCCCGGCTCGTCACAGGGTGGCTCAACTGTCAATCCAGTCTGCTGGCATCCGATGCCCTCTTCTGGCCTCCCCAGGCACTGCACACAAAGTGCCCATACACACAGAACAATAGTGAAACCGATCTAGGAAAGACAGACAGACAGACAGACAGACAGACAGAAAGAAAGGCATAAAGACTGCAGCCTGAATGTCACCTTGGGGGAAACAGAATTCAAGTGAACAAGGAGGACTCAGCCCAGGGAGAATCCAGCTGTCTTAAAGGAAGGCAGTAGTGGGAGCCCCACCTTCCCGCCCGCTTTGTGGGCTCTGAGCCTACGGCCCAGGCTCACACTGCCCAGCGTGGCCACGTTACCTCTGGCCTCACTGCCCAGGTCCAACACGGCTGTGCCTGCTGTGTCGTGGGAGGCCCCGGCTGAGCCCTGGCTAGCCAGGATGTACCCGTTGGCTGAGCTGGCAGAGGTGGTAACCACCCTCACCATGGTGACGGTGGGGGCCTGCTGCACCACATGGATGGCGTGGCCGGAGGGCTGCTGGGAGGTCACTATGGAAGCTGGCATGTAGGCGACAGGCTTAGCCACCAAGTTGGAAGGTCGGGGAGGGACAGCCATGATCACCGGCTGGGCGCTGACTGGGGAGCCTGCAGGGTGACAGAGGACAGTGATGTGGGTGGGTGCCAGCCCATCGGCCACACTGGGGGAGAGGACGAGCCTGCGCCTTACCTGGGGCGCTCTGGGAATAGCGGTACTCGGGAACAGAGGCTAGCTTCGACCCCAGGTCAGGGTCATGTGGAATGGGGGAGCCCTCCCGAGACAGGCACTCTGGGGTCTGCAGGCCACTGGAACGAGGGGACATCAGTCCAGGGTGGGTGGGGGAGGCTGGGGCACTCCTGGTGAGGACAAAGGGGCACAGCAGGGCGGTGTCACAACAGCGGAGTGCAGAAGACACACCCACAGCCAAACCCACCTCTGCTCAGCCACTCCTGCGGACACCCCATGTCAATCCCCTACCCTGAACCCGATGATCCTGAGCACAGCCCACCCCAACGGTAACCAAGGTGCAGGCCCCACACCTCCAGGGTTTTCTCTTTTATCTCCCAAAAGTTTTCCTGGCTCTCAGGCTTCCTGGTGGTGAATTCCCAGCATTACCACTTGCCCTCAGTGGGCAGCTGGGTAGGCAGGTAGGCACTCCACTAAACAGGCTGAAGGGGAGGAGGAAGGACTGCTCCCCAGCGAGGGCAAATCCTCAGCATACACTGCCTAAAAGGTCCTTTCCCTCTCCAGGAGCGGCTCAGCCTATGCCAAAAGAAAAGGCTTGCTACTTAGAAGGCAGAGGCAGGAGGATTCTCTTGCTCTCTGAGACGGTTTCTCTGTGTATCCTTGGCTGTCCTGGACTCACTCTGTAGACCAGGCTGGCCTTGAACCCACAGATATCTGCCTGCCTCTGCCTCCCGGGTGTTGGGATCACAGCGAGCTCCACGGAGCCTGGCTGTCAGAAGAATCTTAAGCTCAGGGCCTGCCTGGGCTAGACTGAATTCACGGCCAGTCTGGACAACTTAACACGATCCTGACTCAAAATGAAAAGCAGAGCAAACAGGTTTGTGGGTGCAGCTCAGTGGCAGAGTACCTGCCTGGGATCCAGCAAGGGGCTGGCTGTGTGGCTCTGCGGAAGAGCCCTGACTAGCAGGATGAGGCTCTTGGCTGAATCCCCAGCACTACAAAAGCCCAGAGCGTTCCTGGGCGAGCGTGAGGACTGTGATATCTCAGAAGCACAAGAGGCCAGCACAGACGCACACACTCCTACCCGAGGAGTCAGCGACCCTGGGTTCCTGCACGTGGGAGCATTCCTCAGGGTCCCTGCCACCTGCTGGCTACCTGCACATCGGCAGGTGGCCACAGGCACACTCACAGCTGTCTGGAGAAGTACCGGCTCCTACGGCACTTCTGCTACTATGTAGTCAGAGAACTGTGCAAACGGCCAGGCAGGCGCAGCACCCAGGGGAACTGTTGATGGTCAAGTCCATCCAGCCAAAGCCACCCGCCAGTGGGGGAGCTGTGCTCCCAACAGGGCTCCATTAATGGCAGAGGGAGCACAAGGTCCGGACGTGAGCAGGGCAGCCTGGCCGATCAGCTACAGCTCAGGATCCCCACCCTTTGAACTGGTTACGGCTGGCTCGGCCTCCTGCACAAGGAGCCAGCGACCACCTCGCTGACTGCACCAACCAGCATGGAGGTCTGAGAGCTGGCATCGTACTGGGCATCACAGTGCATGCTTGCAAACCCAGCAGGGATTTTCACGAGTTCAAGGCCGACCTGCCCACAAAGTCGGACCTTGTCTTGAAGCCAGAGAGCAGCAAAGACAGAAGTGTAATGGTCTAAGAGTGGACGCCAGAAAGCAAGCACAGTCCTCAAGCGCCGAGTTCCTCCCCCTGCTGTGACCCAGACTCTAGCTTCTCAGAAGAGCATGAGGACCATGGGGGGGCTTACCGTGAGGACAGAGGCCCGAAGGGGGTGCGGAAGCAGGAGACACCTCTCTGTCTCCGCTTTCGGAATGCTTGTTCCACAAGCTTGGCTTCAGAGGCAGGGTCTATTCGCCAAAAAGAGCCCTTCCCAGGCTCCTCCTGGGACCGAGGGACTTTGATAAAGTAGCGGTTAAGAGAGAGGTTGTGTCGGATAGAGTTCTGTAGGAGACAGAGAGAGACATCTGTGGGTCACAGCCACCAGGGGACAGATCTCACAGCAGACACAGCAGAAGCGGGTGACAGGCACGTGGCTGCAGGTGACCATCCTCCTGGGGAATGCATGGGGCACAGGGGAGCGTCTGCTATTCGAACTCCACACAGTAAAATCCACCACTGTTCTTTGAGGAAGGAGGCAGGCAGGTGTGCAGGATCATGTCAGGGATGCAGACAAGGCTGGCTGGGCTTAAAGCACATCCTGGAGGCGGGGTGTGAGAGCTCACGCCTGTCATCTCAGTGATTGGGAAGCTGAGGATCATGAGTTCAAGGTCAGCCTGGGCTACCCAGTGAGCAAGCTCAAGGCTCAGAAAAGCTCCTTGTGGAGCTAGGGGCCGTGGCTTAGCTGGTGGCCTGCTGGCCTAGCCCGAAGGAAGCTCTGGGCTCTGTCCCCAGCACCACGGACACCAGGCGCCATTAGTGCATGCCTGGAACCTCCGCACTCAGGAGGCGTGAGCAGGAGGGTCAGGCGTGCAAGGTCCCTGTTCGCTACATAGATAGTTCAAAACCTTCAAAACCAGCCTGGGCTACACAAGACCCTGACTCAATAGAAAAAGAAAAAAAAAAAAAAAAAAGAAATAGAAAAACAAAAAAACAAACATATCCCCCCCCCAAACAAAAGGATTCTGCTGGCTAAGCTGGCCGATGGAAAATGCTAACTACAAAGAAAAGGATAAAGTGGTACAATCTGTGCCAATTAGGTGGAAGAACGGGCCCTCCCAGCCTCCCGGGAAGGGACAATGCACAGAACTCCCGAATGCGCACTGCAGGATTAAACGCTGCGTGCAGTGAGCTGCTGCCGTCACGCGGGGTCACAGTGGGCAACAAGCACAGGCACAGTCAGCTGGCAGGGGTGTGGGGGCTCACGGCTGAGGCAGGGGTGCTGCCATGATGTCAGGGCTGGCCTGGGCTACAGAATGAGCCGCCGTCTCAAAACGATTTTAGAAAGAAGGCTGCAACCAGGCATGGAGGGAAAGTGGTCAAACAGACCACTTTAGGGCTGGGATGTGGCTCAGTGGGTAGCGTGCTTGGCCCACGTGAGGCCCTGGGGTCCACGCCCGGCACTGCACAAACACTGTGGTGCGTGCCTGCGGTCCCGGCATTTCGGGAGCAGGAGGTCATCCTTGGCACAGCCCCGGCCCCCGGCCTCACCTGCCAGCCCTTGTCGGCGGTCCTGTAGTATGGGTAATGTTTGGTGATGTGGGCGTAGATGCCGCTTAGTGTCAGCTGCCTGTCCTGGGCCGAGGAGATGGCCTGCACGATCAGCTGCGCGTAGGAGTACGGCGGCTTCGACTCATCCTGGAGGCGGGGTTCACGGGAAACAGTCACGGGGGAGGGGCACATGGGACAGAGTCCCCCCACCCAGACCACCCAGGCCCGACACAGACAGCAGTGCTGCAGTAGGTCAGCCGTTGGCATGCCCACATCAGACTCAGAGCCATGGAGCACCTGCCCCGGCAACCCGAAGGCTGAGGCGGAGGCCCTTGATCTTGCCGTCAGCCTGGGGTAGACTGAGACGGTGTCTAAAAACCCCAAACGACAGCGGGAAGCCAAAAGAGCACCCTTCGGCCAGGTGTGCTGCGAACCTGGAGTCCCAGGCCGGCTGAGTTTTAGCCTCAGCTGCGGGAGTCTCTCAAAAAAACAGAGAACGAAAGAACAGAACAGAGGGCCCGGGGAAACGGCTGAGCGCAGGAAGTGCTTGCCGGGAAGGAAGGCAGACCCAAGTTTGGGTCCACAGCACCCTTGGGAAATGCAAGACGGTGTCCCAGAACAATCCCAGTGACACCCTGGCGCCCAGCCTGGGCTACTTACTGAGACTCTGTTCCCTGACAAAAAAATAAAATAAAAATAGAAATAAAAAGAAGGCTGGTGGAACAGCCTGGTGACAAATCTCTCCTGGGTTAAATTCCCAGCACTGTCCAAAGAGGGTGGTGGTTGGGCTGGGTGGCCATGCACACCTGTGGTCTCAGGGCTTGGGAGGCAGAGGCAGGTGGATCTCGGAGTTCCAGGCCAGCCTGGTCTACAGAGTGAGTTCAGGACAGCCAGGGCTACACAGAGAAACCCTGTCCAAAAAAAAAAAAAAAAAAAAAAAAGAGGGTGGGTAGAAAAGAAAAAAGTGTCACTTGTCATAAAGACTCTTACTAAACTCTAAAACCGTCTCTCCAGGAGTGGACGGAACAAGAAGGAAGTGGCTGGGTGACAGGTCTCCGGCTCCCCACCAACGGGAAGTGGCCCACCCTGGAGCGCCTGCCTGAGCCACCCTGAGGACCCTGCTTCGCTCTTGGCCACCAAGACGTGACAGCGAGTTTGAGGCTCAGACCTTGGGGCTGTCCCCGCCAGATGTGTCCGCCTGCTGCTCAGAGGCGGCCTTCGCTGCAAACTCCGCGGCCAGCTGCAGGTCTGAGGTCACGTTCTGCACGAAGCGGTACCCGGAAGACCCAGCTCCTCGAGGACTGGCTGGGCAGGAGTTGGGGACACTGAAGAGAAAACAAAGACCACACGGTCAGCCTGAGAGCCCGGGGAGGTGAGGCTGGGTACGGACACATGGATAATGGCTGGAGTGGATTATTTCTGCTACTCTGGGAGACCAGCGACAGAAAACTCCAGAAATGCAACGACGGAACCCAAGAGAGGACAACATGCTTTCCTCTCTCCTCTGAGGCCAGGAGCACAGCTGCAAGAAGCCGAGACTCCGTGCCAAGAGTCCCTAAGCAGGAAAGCAGCTCCAGGCGGTAAAGGTATGGCTAGTGCGACGGTGACCACAAGATGGCGCCCTAAGAACAGGCTTGGACGGCCAGTAACTCCACAGGAGGGAAGTTAAAACAGATGCTTCGGGAGGTGGCCTGCTGGCAGGGAGGGGAGGGGGCTCAGGACTCTGCCCTGGGCTCCAGCACCACCTGGACCCACCACAGGCCACGGCAGCATAGCTGTGAGCTGTGCGGGAGAGGACCCAGCCGGCCCCCACCCAGACCCATGGCTGCCGCTGGGTGGCTGAGGGGTGAGCTGATGGATTAAGACAGCTCCAGCTGGATGTTCGCTGCTGAGGCAGGGCACCTGAGTTCAATCCCCGGTACCCCCACAGACTCCTGCAGGGTGCCCTCTGACCCTCACGTGTGTACCGTGGTGCAGACAGACACACACACAGGCACGCATATGAATGAGCGAGGGAATGAATGAATGAATGGACGAATGAACCATGAGTGAATGAATGAGTTAAGTGCTGGAGGGATGGCTCGGCAGTTAAGAGCAGAGGACTGGAGTTTGCACCCACCACGTCAGGTGGCTCAGGACGACTTATAACCCGATTCAGGGGCTCTGACGGCCCCTCCTGGCTTTTGTGGATGCCTGGGCTCACTTATGTGCAAGGCCCCACCCCCACAATATTAGAAACAAAATCTTTTACAAAGCAATGATATTATTGTTAATAATAATAATACAGACTGCTTCTCCACCCAAAGTCTTGGTTCTAAGAAGGGTTTCCCTTAGCTGGGCAGTGGTGGCACACACCTTTAATCCCGGCACTCAGAGACAGAGGCAGGTGATTCTCTGAGTTGGAGGCCAGCCTGGTCTTCAGCCCAAGTTTCAGGACAGCCAGGGCTACACAGAGAAAAGAGAGAAAAACAAAACAAAACACCTTGTCTTGAAAAAAAAAGAAAAAAGTTTTCCTGTTAAAACAGAGTCCCACGAGATGGCTTGGTGGGAAAGGTGCATCCTTCTAGGCTTGGCCTTAGTTTGATGCTCAGAGCCCCGGTGGCAGAAGGGGAGTCCAGACTTCTACAAGCTGTCTTGACTCAACCCCTGTACCGTGGTATGTGTGCCACTGGGCGCAAGCACGCACACACACCCCACAAAGAAACACAATGTAATGCAGAAGTTGAAAAAAACAACCAACCAACCAAACCTTTCAAACAGGGAAAAGCAGTCAAATGCTGAAGAGGGTGGGGTCTCGCCAGTGTGGTCCACCTGCCTCTGCCCTCACTGCAGAAAACCTGTGTCTGCATGGGACAAGTGTCAGGACGCTGCTCCCTCCCGCTGCCTGCTGCTCCTGCTGTGGGAACACCCAGCTCAGGGCTCTCCAGAGCCTGTCCTCTGCTTCATCCTGAAGCTACCTTTGCTTCGGGGATGGCTCCTGGTTCCCCAAACTCGCTCAGGATGCTGCCTCCACGTGCAGTGTCCCTCAGGCCTGGGGTGCAAGCCTGTGGGTGGCTGAGGGTCCATCTCCCTTTCCTGGGAGCTGCTCAGGACTGAGCAAGGGACCAGTGAAAGCTCGCTGAGGCATAGTGGGTGAATTCCTTCCGGGGTCACAACCCCTCCGTAGGAAGGAGGGGTAGGTACACATCACACATAATCCTAAAGCCTCTGGTTTGAGGGTTCATGCTCTCTTCTGACCACCTCAAAATCTGATCATTCCTGTGCTTGTGGAGCTCTCTTCCAGCTTACGCCATGGCCTCCTCCCCGCCCATGTCCCTGGGACCAGCTGAGGCCTGGCCACATACATAAAGGTCAATCAGCAAAGCAGAGGAAATTTTCCCTGAGGTTCTTTTTCTTTTTAAAGGGGGTCTTGTTATGTAGCTCAGGCTGGTCCCAAACTCACCATCCTCCTGCCTCATCTTCTGAGTGCTAGAAATAGAGGCATGAGCCACCATGTCTGGCTTGAATTTAATTCTCTCTCTCTTTTTCTTTTCCTCGAAACAGACTTGCATTACGAAGCCCAAGACGGACTATAACTTTCTCTGTGGCCGTGCATGGGGATTCCAGCATGCCTGCCACACCAACCAGAAGTTAATTCTGAATCTAAAATATAATCTCAAGTACCAGGTGGGCAGGCTGCGAGAGCACGTCCCTTCAGCATGCACACACTCAAACACAAGGTTTCACTGGGCATGGTGTAGCATTCCTTTCATCCCAGCGCTCGGGAGGCAGAGGCAGGCAGGTCTCGGGGAGGTCAAGGCTAGAATGGTCTACATAGTGAATTTGAGGCCAGCCCATGGTAAGACAGACAAACAAGCAAACAAACAAAGATTTTAGGTTTCAAAACTAGACTTGGAGCAAAGGCATGGTCAAGGGAGACGTGTTCATGGGATGGTAGCACACCACTGAAGACTGGCCTCACCGGGACCAGCCCCACACTGCGCAGGCCTGGGTCCCTCACTGCCCTCAGAGTCTGCCTGAATGACCGGAGGCATTAAGTCAGTGGTGATCATGGGCCTGAGAAGTCACCACAGAACACGGCGCACCTCCTAGTTAGTGACAGGTCACGCACACGCAGTGTGGGTGGAGGCAGGTGCAGGAGAGTTCTCAGGACCCTGGAAAGCTGTGTGAAGCCGTGGAGGTGGCAGAGCGGCCATCCTGGGCATCCTCCTGCTCGTTCTGAGGGCACGGGTGATGGTGGGGCATGCAGAGCAAGGCCGGTGTCTTGTATGCTACACCCTCGCTCCTTGGTGTAAAATCCAGGGTCCAGGTCTTTGGAGCCCACGGAAGGTTTACACGGAAGTAACATACAGCGCTTGGCAAAGCCCATCTTAGAGCCAGGAAGAGAGTCAGGAGGCAGGCCTGACGGCTGCAGGGAAACTGAGGCAGGAGGATCACAGGCCAAGGTTGGTCTGGGATACAGAATGAGTTCAAGTCCAGCCTGGGAGACTGAATGAGTCCCAGTCCCACCCCAACCCATCTCCCCCTCCCAATCAAAACAGGCTGAAAATGTAGCTCAGTGGTAGAGCACTTGTCTCAAAGTGAGGGGCTGGAGCATGGCTCAGCGCTAGAGTGCTTGCCTAGCATGTGTGGGGCTCTGGGCTCAGTGTGTGTGCGTGTGTGTGTGTGTGTGTGTGTGTGTGTGTGTGCGCGCTCGTGCACTCGTGCGTGTGTCCTGAGAAAGCAACCTCTGTCTCCGCCTGTCTGTGAGTGATGTCTATGTGGCCTCAGCCTCTCGGCCTGGGACGGCAGTTTCCCAGCGGCTTCTCCAGGACAGCCACGCTTCTAATCACTCTTTTCCCAACCTCATGGCAGCCTGTTTTTTCCCCTCTGACCCATCCCTGCAAGCAGGCTGCAAGGAGAGAGCCAAGCCTGTGGCAGGACAACCCGCTGCTGGAGCTGTCTCAGAGCCCTAAAACGATCCACCGAGAGTCAGGTGAATCCCAGACCCGGAGTGAGGGAGTGAGCAGGGCTTCCGAAGGGCTTCCTGGCCTGGAGAACACTTCAAGGGCCTTGGAAAAGGCACCTGGGAAAGAGAAACTCACAGCAGGCGTGCCAGAAGCAAGAGCGGTGGAAAGCCGCAGACCAGCCAACTGCAGCAAGACTCTGCCTTTAGATCCGGAGCAACCAAAGCCAAAAGGAACCCTCTCTGCGCCAAGGCAGGAGCAGACCCCTCCCCGAAGAGCCCGAGCCCCATTCCTAAAACAGGCTGGCTGCCCACCTCCCAGGGAGAAAGCCAGGACTTGGCGGATGGTGTGATAGAGTCTGAGTTTGGCATCTGGGTCGGGGAGCAGAGCTAAAAAAATGCCTGTACACACACACACACACACACACACACACACACACACGTGACATCACATACGTAAGACACATTGTGGGCCTGGCGGCGGGCACACTTTGGAGTCAGTGAGAAAGCCTGAAGACTCTGGGCGCCAGTCAGCTCCTGGGGACCAGCCTGGCCCTGGCCTGTTCCAGCAGCAACCTTGATAATCTCAAGCTGGCCCCGAGACAGCCTGGGCCACACCCGGCAGTCAGGCTCCAACGGTGCTTCTCTGGACTCCCCAGACGTGCCAAGAAACAGCCCTGCCTGGCGCAGGTGTCCGGCGCTCCCGACAGGCATGGGCGGCCTGCAGGGGCACGCTCGGTCAGCTTTCTTTCTCTTTTCTTCCTTTCTTTCATTTTTAACATTGTCTGCGTTGCTCCAGCTTTAGCAAAGGAGCTGCTGAAGCTAGGGCCCTGGTTTAGTTCTTCAGCTGGCCTTGAACTCCCTGTGCAGCTGAAGGAGACCTCGAACCCCGGGCTCTCCCACCTCCGCCCCACTGTACTTCTGCCTGTTACTGCGAGCAGATTTCAAGCCGAGACAACAAATCTGACGAAGGAGCAACTGCACCCCACCCCACCCCCTGCTCAAGATAAACGGGGGTGCTCCTGCAGATACCCTCGGTCAACACCCCGACAATGTCGGGCAGCGGGGGCAGTCTGGCCACTTTCCTCCAGTGTCAGAATTGCTGGGTTCAGGGGAACAGTAGTGTCAGAGTCGGGGGTGGGTACGGCCTGGAGGCATGACCAGGGTCAGGGCTGGGGTGGTGACACTGTGGGGAATGGGGATGGGCATGTGATGTCCAGAACCATGCCAAAAGGCTGGGCGTGGTGGAGAACCCTGGGGCTCCCTGGGGTACCGGAGGGATGGTACCTGAGGCCGAACCTGATTCACACACACACGTGTAAGATTGCGCACCGCCATCCTCCCCCACAGCTCTGGGTAGAGGGGTGTCACCCCAGCCTC